TTTTTTGGTCTGGATGTCTGCTTAGTTTCAAGAATATATAGAGGCTGTAATTTTTTCACCAGAATGGATTTTTTAATTGGAGGATAATTGCTTTACAATGCTGTGTTAGTTGTACAACATGAATCAGTTGTAAGTATATGTGTGTGTGTGTGTATGTAAACCTTTATATGTATATGCGTGTGTGTGTGGTGGGGGGGGGGGGTTTCCCAGGTGATGCTAGTGGTAGAGAACCCTCCTGCCAATGCAAGAGACATAAGAGACGTGGGTTCAACCCCTGGGTTGGGAAGATCCCCTGGAGAAGAGAATGGCAACCCACTCCAGTATTCTTGCCTGAAGAATCCCATGGACAGAGGAGCCTGGCGGGCTACAGTCCATAGAGTCACAAAGAGTCGGCCAGGACTGAGCGACTTAGCACACGCGTGTGTATATATGCATATACATTCCCTTCCTCTTGAGCCTCCCTCTCCCCCTACCCCCATCCCACCCAGCTGGGCCATCACAGGGCGCCGGGCTGAGCTCCCAGTGTCACACGAGAGGCTGTAACGTTCATTAAGTGGCTCAAATGGTAACTATCAACACATTTGCCGAAGAAAGAAAATTCACTTTTCACTGAGACTGCTCAGGTTCCAGCTGGGGGGGGGGGGGGGGTGCGGTAGAACCAAATGTAGTTGTACCCAGAGCCTGCTGCTAGAATAGTACCACCGTGGGATAAAAGAAATACTTCTAATGAGCGATGGGAAGCCCCGCCGTTTGGCCGGATCAGGAGAAGCATCCTCAGGAGGAGACATCTGAAATGCGGCAGAGGGAAGACGAGGGCTGCCAGGCAGGGAAGGGCGGGCGGGAGGCCGGGGAAGACAGACGCAGCGCCCGCCGGGGTGTGGAGGCAGGCTCCGCGAGCCGGGAGGATCGCGAGCCGGTGTCGGAAGCGAGCCGGAAGAGGCAGGCGGGGATGACCCGAGGGCAGAACTGACCTTTCTTCTACAGGGCGAGCAGGAGCCAATGACTATCATGAGGAGGAGAACTGACCCCGACGAATTTGATATTTGAGAATTTCCTTCTGGCGGCAGCAGCGGAGGCTACGTTAGAAGTGAATTGGTAGTCCTAATCATGTAGACAAAAGACGCACGAGTCTGCAGTGAGGCAGCAAGCCTCGGGTCTAGGAGCCGTGTGGGGCTTTGTGGGCTCGCGAGGCAGTGGCAGACTCCTCCCCGGAGGGCAACAAGTGATGTTCAAACTTGACATTCAACCCTGAGTTTTGAAGATATCTGACGCAGATTTGGAACAACAACAACAGACTGGTTTCAAACAGGAAAAGGAGTACATCAAGGCTGTATATTGTCACCCTGCTTATTTAACTTCTATGCAGAGTACATCATGAGAAATGCTGGGCTGGAGGAAGCACAAGCTGGAATCAAGATTGCCGGGAGAAATATCAATAACCTCAGATATGCAGATGACACCACCCTTATGGCAAAAAGCGAAGAAGAACTATAGAGCCTCTTGATGAGAGTGAAGGAGGAGAGTGAAAAAGTTGGCTTAAAGCTCAACATTCAGAAAACGAAGATCATGGCATCTGGTCCCATCACTTCATGGCAAATAGATGGGGAAACAGTGGAAACAGTGAGAGACTTTATTTTGGGGGGGGCTCCAAAATCACTGCAGATGGTGACTGCAGCCATGAACTTAAAAGACGCTTACTCCTTGGAAGGAAAGTTATGACCAACCTAGACAGCATATTAAAAAGAAGAAACGTTAATTTGCCAACAAAGGTCCATCTAGTCAAGGCTATGGTTTTTCCAGTAGTCATGTATGGATGTGAGAGTTGGACTATAAAGCTGAACGCAGAAGAATTGATGCTTTTGAACTGTGGTGTTGGAGAAGACTTGAGAGTCCCTCAGACTGCAAGGAGATCCAACCAGTCCATCCTAAAGGAGATCAGTCCTGGGTGTTCATTGGAAGGACTGATGTTGAAGCTGAATACTTTGGCCACCTGATGCAAAGAGCTGACTCATTTGAAAAGACCCTGATGCTGGGAAAGATTGAGGGCAGGAGGAGAAGGGAACGACAGAGGATGAGATAGTTGGATGGCATCACTGACTCAATGGACATGAGTTTGGGTGGACTCCGGGAATTGGTGTTGGACAGGGGGGCCTGATGTGTTGCGTTTCACGAGGTCACAAAGAGTCAGACATGACTGAACGACTAAACTGACTGAACTGACTGAGGCAGATTACCATGTTTAAGGGTTATTATTCAATATCTGGAACATTGATTAGTCCTATCTAGCAGATATTTATCCAGATTACTTTTTAAACATGTAAAATGTGTTGATAGATGATTCTCTCATTAGTAACTTAGTGTACTCTGATACTCCAATTAGTATATTAATGTTAACTCAGACTACAGTTTGGTTTCTTAAACAGCAATAGAATTACTCAAATTTTCTTCTTCCTATACTAAGGCAGTATTGCTTATGATGGGAACTGCACTTAGTCGTGTCCAGCTCTTTGCCACCCCATGACTATAGCCCGCCAGGCTCCTCTGTCCGTGGCATTCTCCAGGCGAGAAACCTGGAGTGGGTAGTCATTTCCTTCTCCAGAGGATCTTCCCAACCTGGGGATTGAACCCACGTTTCCTGTGTCTCCTGCACTGGTAGGTGGGATTCTTTACCACCAGCGCCACCTGGGATAGGAAGGCTCTTTGCATACATCCCCCACCCCTGTAAATCGCAGGCATGTTTAGTCCGGTCCTGGCATCCGCCTCTTGAAGGGACCGAACCAATGCAAAGCAGAACAGAGGAGATCAGGTAGGCAGCTGGATGGGCAGGTTTGGGGGTCACTGTGCACAGGCATCATGGAGCCTTGGGTGAGGATGAACCTGATCCAAGGCTGCGGACCCTGAGAGCACCCTTTATAACACGTGGCTACGTGTGCTAACAGCTGGAGGGCAGCTGTTGACAAAGGTATGCAACCTAAGATTTGGCACAGTTGACATGCATGTGGTCTTAGACGGTTTAGATTTTAATGCAGCATTATAATGCAGCATTAGAAACCATTTGTTGTTGTTCAGTCACTAAGTCATGTCTGACTCTTGCGACCCCATGGACTGCAGTTCACCAGGCTCCTCTATCCATGGGATTTCCCAGGCAAGAATACTGGAGTCAGTTACCATTTCTTTCTCCAGGGGATTTTCCTGACCCAGGGATCAAACCCACATCTCCTTAGAAACCAAAGACAGAGGAATTTTCAGCATTCACTATAGTCCTAACTTTGTGCATAACTAAGTGCTACCCTATAATTCTTGGAACTTCAGGCCAGTGTTGAGTTAGAAGCACTGGGCTATGGGCTTGCTCCATCCTTTCCAAGCACAAGATAACCAAGTATAAAAGAGCTAGATCGGGAAAAGCCAATACCCTTCAGTACTTGAGAACTGAGTGTTCTACTGGTTACTGAAAGCTTTTCCAATAAAATGCCATGTAACTCTGCCCCATACTCTTAATCCCCTCAGCACCATGCCTGTGAATGTATTGAAAGCTTCAGTCGGCTACGAGGATGATTATTATGGGCTGTGTTTGTTCATGTTGTAAAATATTTTCATACTAGTTCTGTCTGCACCTTACCTTGAACTTCTTCCATATCTTTTGTAATTCGACAAATTACCATATGCATAGGGGAAACCAAGCTTTGTTGCTGACAGTAATGATAGTGATGAGATTTTATTCCTAAACTGCCGAGAAATCGCATCTTCATTCAAATCATCTAAATGGTCGGATTCTCTAAAGTGATTATGACTTTAAGTGTTTAGATTTGCAAAAATTACTACAGTTAAACCATTCACGATTAAGCCATGCAGGCTGCCAACACTGGGCACACACCCAGCTCTCTTGGCCTAATGATGCTCACCCAGGCAGAGGACACCTGGTACGCCTAAAAAAGGGAGGGAAAAAACAGGACTACGGTCATTAGAAAATATCCAAAGTGTGTAGATAAAACAGAGAGAGAAAGAAATCTAGGTAATTAAGTTTGTACAACTGTTCTACAGAAATATGGTAATAATTCTTCTAGTCTATGTCAAGAGCCTATGTCTGCACTTTTTAATTTTTATTTATTTTTGACTGCACTGGGTCTTAGTTGCTGCATGCAGGATCTTTGATTTTCATTGCAGCATGCAGGGTCTTTAGTTGCAGCAGGCAGGAGCTTCTAGCTGCGGCATGTGGAATCTTTAGTGGCAGCACGTGGAATCTAGTTCCCTACCAGGGATCGAACCTGGGGACCTGCATTGATAGTGTGGAGTCCTAGCACTGGACCACCAGGGAAGTCCCTATCTGCACTTTTTATCTCAAGGCAATGGGAACAGTTAAATTACATAGTCTATGAAAAGTCATTCTTGATATTTAGGATGATGTAAAAAAAACAGTGGCTCAAATCCAAATAACTCCCACTGGTAGTAGAATTTGACCTTAAATTCTCCTTACCAAGAGGTCAAAAGAGGTCAAATAACACTATGTGTTTGCCTCTAATTAATACATCAGAGGGACCATAAACATAGGCTAGAAATATTTTATAGTCTAAAATCAACTTTCATGGAAGCAACTGTAAAAACCATAAGACTATTTTTATCTCTCTTGCAATCTTCCTGTCTGAAAAGAAATAACTAAGAAATCACAATCATGTATTTAGCATGTAGCATCTGGGGAAAATTTTTATTCCACTTTTGCAGATTAAAAAAAAACTCTATTAATATCTAGCAAGTCTATATACTTGATTTATTACCTGTCAGAATTATCTCAAATGTATCATCAGGTATAGCAGGAGACAATAAACATTGTTAGAGATAGTTACAGGTTAGCAAACACAAGCACAGATATATATACAATTAATAAAAAGTCCTAGCTCTCTTTATGACATCAGGGAACGCTGTAAAGGTTAGCATTTATATTGTTAGTTGTTTTGTCTTCTTAAAACTGGTCAAATTACATAAAGAAACATAAAATAACTTACCTTTTTGAACCTCTGGATCCATTAAGTGATTAGCTAATGGATGTCAATATATTGATGCTTTCTTGATCATTTCTTGAAAACTAGACAAATAATACCTTAAGATATCAAATGGTAATAATTAATTCAATATGTGCTTTAAGTGCTCTCATAGTTACCTAATAAAATGTACCATCAAATACAGTAGAGAAAATTATATTAAAATATCTTATTAAGAAATCATGATTTTTAAAAAGAGCATTAAAACACAATCTATCTAGTACCAACTAAAATTCAGGGTCAGAAATTTTAGAAGTTTTTGAAGAAGAAACATTCTTCCCCAGAGCCACCTCAGCTATCACAAAGAAAGCCTTCATCTTCATAGTAACTAGTCAGAGAGCAATCCTAAGACTTAAGAGGTGATTAAAACATTGGGAGAGAAATGGTTCCACTCAGTGTAGTAAGCACCATAGCATTAATCCAAAACAAACCTCCCTACATAGCAACTGGTGCAAAGTTGCTGCCACCCGTGGTCATCAGCCTGTACCCAAGGTCAAAGAGCCCAACCACCAAACGCTTTCTTTTTTAAGTAGCTGCTTCTTTAAAAAAAAAAAAAATCCATACTATCTCAGCAAAGATATTTAAAAGGAAAGGAATTCAAGTATTGTATGCCTCTCAAACAAAGCATATCTTGTGAATGAATGAGCTTAAGTAAGCTGTAGTTCCAACTTTGGAAAACAACAATTTGACATTTTAAGCATCAGTTTTTAAATCCTTTAACAATCACTGTACTACCATGAATTAACATTCACTCCTTTTCTACCAGGCTCCTAAAACACGTCACAGTCACCGCATCTTTCTTTAAAATATGCCTCAGTAAATTAGGAGACAGATTGTTTTCCTTACAGTTTACAAAGGAGGAAAATCAAAGGTTATATTATGCCCCTGAGGTTACAGGGCTAAACAATAGCGAAAGTGGTCACCCCGTTTGTTCCCAATTCAGTTTCTCTTCCATTAAAGGGACGCGGTCTTTACAACACCTGTCCGCCTGCAGATCAACATTTATTAAACGTGAAATCTGGACATACCTATGTACACGAGTTAGCTGAGTTTCTAGAAGGTTAAAAAGGATCATCCACAACTTTGTCTTTGCTGCCGAGACCCTCTGATGGCGCACGAGAGGCGCGCACCCAAGCTCTGCAGTTGACTACTGTACGCGCTGGCAGCGGGTCTAAGCCCGACAGCTGCGTCTGCACAGCCTCTGAGACTCGGCAGCGAGGCTGGGACGCCCATAAATAAGGGGCCGGAGAAAGTAAGCAGGCACATTCCATGCGGGCGTCTCGTGCCCAGAGCAAGGGCCAGCGGGAAGGTTTCAACTCCTTCTGCAAATGAGTGAAGGCGATTCGGGCCAAGTGATAATCTTTCACTTGGGTGCCCAGTTATTTAAGCGTCCGCAGCTCTGACGTCCTGTGACACGGAGGCCGCGTGCTTTCCGGGTCACCTTGTCCGGGTGCGAAGGCCATTTTTAGCCTCAGACAACTGCCCCAGAAGCCTTGGGAGAGCGTGTGCTGCAGCGCCCTGACCGCAGGGATTAGGTTACCTTAGTTCCTTCCTACTGGGAGTGAAGAGGCAGGCGGAGGGAATATGTAGGCTGTACTCCTGCTCACGTGCATGTAGGGCTGCAACTCAGAGTATACATTAACTCCCGCGACGGCAGGAAATAGCCTGAAGAAGTTATTAACAGGTAACTAAACCCTACAATATTGCAAAGTTAAACTTAGGAGTGAGGGTACAGCCTCTAAGAAATACTTCACATATTATGATGGATGGAGCTCACGATAGTGGATAGGATAGGACTCGTGGTCTGGGAGCCTGATTTTAATCACTCCTGTCAATAATTGGCCTGTCATTTTAGGCACTGACTTAGCATGTTTCTTGGCTTCCTTATCTATAAAACAGAGATAAAAAAGGCACATAATATATATGAGATGAATATGGTAGACAAAAAAAATTCTGGAAACTGCAAAATCTTAAATGATGAAAACAATTATTCACAGGCAGTTAACCCTGGGCAGAGGACAAGCTTTTTTTTTTATCTTTTTAAAACAAGAATGAAGAATTATTCAGTGAATAAAAACCACCTGTCTTTTCCCACAAATTATTTTTTAGTTTATTTTTTAATTGAAGGATAATTGCTTTATAGAATTTTGTTTTCTGTCAAACATCAGCAGCCTGAATCAGCCACAGGTATACATATGTCCCCTCCCTCTTGACCCTCCCTCCCATCTCCCACCCCATCCCACCCTAGGTTGATACAGAGCACCTGTTTGAGTCCCCTGAGACATAGAGCAAGTTCCCGTTGGCTATTTTACACATGGTAATGTAGGTTTCCATGGTACTCCCTCCATACATCTCACCCTCTCCTCCCCTCTCCCCACATCCATAAGTCTGTTCTCTATTTCTCCATTGCTGCCTTGCAAATAAACTCATCAGTATAATCTTTCTAGATTCCATATATATGTGTTAGTATATAATATTTATCTTTCTCTTTCCAACGTACTTCACTCTGTATAATAGGCTCTAGGTTCATCCACCTCATTAGAACTGACTCAAATGTGTTCCTTTTCATGACTGAGTAATACTCCATTCCCACAAGTTATTTAAAAGATCAAGAAACCTCAGTTTCTTGGATTTCCTGAGAAGCAGAATCTCTAAATCATCTGAACAGACATGATGACAATGATCATTTTGGTTATATTGAACTGTTTTTTGCGGGGGGGGGGGGGGGGAGGTACAGAGAGACTTTTGCCTCCAGCTCTAAGTAGCTTACAGCAACACAACAGTGCCTCTTCACTCAAGATTATTTGCTTAGGAAGATGTTCAGGGCAAGATGCTAATTTTCCAAGTATAAAGCGGCTAAAAACAGAACAAAAGTTCAGAAGAAGAAATATCCCAACTGGTACCTGTGGAAAACTACTTTTTAGGGATGCAGGAAAATTAGGAGATGGAGTGTGACAAAGACTGCAAACCAGCCCTGAATCCACTCAGTCCTGGTTAAAGTAAGGTGATCTTCCCCCCTGCTTCCTGCCAGAATACCTTCTGGAATCCCCTCTAGAGGAGGACTCACAACATCTACAATTTTTTATACATAATGTCCAGCATTCACTCAAAAGTTTACTGATCATACCGAGAAACAGACAACAGAAACAAACCCACAGGTAATCTAGATATCAGGATTGTTTGACACAGATTTTAAAGTAACTGTGATTAAGATATTACAAAAAACAGATGAAAAGAATTATACCAGAGAACTGAAATCTATAAAAATGAATCAAATAGAATGAAATAAAAATCTCTATAACAGGTTTAACAGCAAACGTAGAGAAAGCTATAGAAAAGATTGATAAATTGAAATATAAATTTACAGAAAAAGTATAGGATGGTCACCATGCTAAAGAAGTTACAGGCATCCAAACTTGCTTTGAAAAATGATAAATTTGCTATGCTGCTGTTTGTCTTAAACAGGTAACCTATTTTATAGGCAAAAGAGCACCCTGAATTGAATTAGATTTGGGTTCAGGTCACAGTGTTTTCCTATTAGATGGGTGAATTTGGTCAAGTCAGTCATAATAAGACTTTGAAACTTGTTTCTTCCCTTATAAAGGATCTACCTTGGTCACAGGGTTTAGAGGAAATAAAGGATATAATCTCAAACTGTCCTGTGAACACTGCACTTATGGCATAAGATAATAATGGTGTTTGGTGGGTTTTTTTTTTTTCCAGACTTCTATCTTTACTGGCATGGGGCTTCCCAGGGGCTCAGAGGTAAAAAATCTACCGCCAATGCAGGAGACACAGGAGATGTGGGTTCAATCCCTGGGTCGGGAAGATCCCCTGGAGAAGGAAATGGCAACCCACTCCAGTACTCTTGCAAGGAGGATCCCATGGACAGAGGAGCCTGCTGGGTTACAGTCCATGGGGTCACAAAGAATCAAGATGTGAGCATGCACACATCTTTATTAGCATATGGACTGAGTAAACAGGCTTTTTGCAAGCATATTCAGGTCTTCTACTAACGGTTCTGAATACCCAGTTTTCCTCCTCTGGATACACAGCCCAGGTAGAGATTACATTTCTGAGTATGTCGAGTATACACTGAAGAATATGGTCAGTTCAGTCAACAGGATGGGGACGGGAAGTGATTTTTCTAGTCACCTTTCACATAAGACACCCTGGTCACCCAGGACCACGGTTCTTTCCTCTTTGAGGAGGTTGAACTGCAGATACAGCCGTGACCGGTATAGACGGCCGAACCTGGACCCAGCATGACCTCAAGGTGCTCACCTGCCTCACCAGCCCACACTGGCCTGACTGCTGAGGAAGAGGTGGTGTCTCAGCTTACTTGAAAGCGCAAGTGTTTGTCACTCAGTCGTGTCCAACTCTTTGCGACCCCGTGGACTGCAGCCCAGCAGGCTCCTCCGTCCATGGGATTCTCCAGGCAAGAGCACTGGAGTGGGCTGCCATTCCCTTCTCCAGGGAATCTTCCTGACCCAGGGATCGAACCTGGGTCTCCTGCATTGCAGGAAGTTCTTTGACCATCTGAGCCAGCGGGGAAATAGTGGTTCACACGTACAGGAATACGTCTTGCTTACAGCAGCTTGGTGTTCACTCCAGCTACTGCAGTGCAGGACAAATATAAGTTATCAAGGCAACAAGATTACATTTCAGCAAAACTACTGCTATTTTACCAACAAACACATATGAAGAAAACTCCCAATTTTAAGTAGCTTGGAGAAATGACAGAATAACATGAAAAAGTTAATGTCCCTCTTCCCAACCCTTCCCCAAAACTGTTCTATCTAAAATATCTCCAGAGAAAAGCAGCATTAAGGAAAGATTTTATTTCGGAATCTAGAAAAATGGTACTGAAGACTTTATTTACAGGGCAGCAGTGGAGAAACAGACATAGAGAATAGACTTATGGACGTGGGGAGAGGGGAGGAGAGGGTGAGATGTATGGAAAGAGCACCATGGAAACTTGCATTACCATATGTAAAATAGAGAGCCAACGGGAATTCGCTGTATGGCTCAGGAAACTCAAACAGGGGCTCGGTATCAACCTAGAGGGGTGGGGTGGGGAGGGAGATGGGAGGGAGGTTCAAAAGAGAGGGGATGTATATATATATGACTCATTCATGTTGAGGTTTGACAGAAAACAAAATTCTGTAAAGCAATTATCCTTTAATAAAAAAAATAAATTTAAAAAAATCACACACAAAAAAAGAAAAGATTTTCTTCTATGTGGAAGTCAGTGTTGATTTTAGAAGAAAGCTTTTAGAGAAGGCTGAAGCAGAAGATGTATTTCAAATTAGAAAGAAAGAAGGAATGAGCAAAAATAGGCAGCAGCGCTGGTCCAAGTATTTGAAAAGCTGTGCTGGAATGTAAACATAAATGAATGCAAATATAAACATAAAAATACTTATATAAGGGGTTTCCCAGGTGGTGCTAGTGGTAAAGAACCCGCCTCCCAATGCAAGAGACATAAGAGACGTGGGTTCGATCCCTGGGTTGGGAAGATCCCCTGGAGGAGGGCATGGCAACCAACTCCAGTATTCTTGCCTGGAGGATCCCATGGACCGCAGAGCCTGGCAGGCTACAGTAAAGAGTCAGACATGACTGAGGCGACTTAGCATGCATGCACATATGTAATGCTTACATAAATGAAATGGATATAAACAGAAATATATTTTATTCTCATCTAGGTTGGAAAGTCAGAGGGAACACACAGCAAGTAAGTACTGATCAATAGAAACCCCTTTTCCCTTTTTAATGTTAGAAAGCATCGACGTTGCATAATACTAGAAACATGAACAGATGAGGCCTGTAGATACAAAGAAATATTCAATGAAGTGGAAAACACTAGAAAAAGGTAACATATTAAAGAAAATAAGTAATTGTCCAGCTTAACGTCCATATTTTTAAAAGCCACACAACAAAGACTGTGCAAATACTCTGAATTTTATTATTTCCCCACAACAAATTCATCACAAAATGTTAAGCTGTACCCAACTACAGAGCTTGCATGGGTATTTAGGTTTTCCACTTCCTTCCTCTCGTGCTTCTCCGTCTCCCCTTTCTCTTCCCAAACACAGGCCTGGCGGTCACCAGCAGGGGCTTCGCGCCCGCTCCATCGTCATCGTCGCTGGAGCTGCTCGTGGTGGTCCCGCCGTCCCTCCGGGGAGCAGGCTGCGCTGCGCTCTGTGCAGCTGACGTGCGGGCTCTGGACCCCCCGGGTGCCTTCGCCCTCTGCACGCCCATCGCGGGGAAGTACTCCACATCCTCACCTGAAGAGGCCTCGGAGGACTGCGAGAGGTAGGCCTCCCCCAAAAACCCACCACTGTCGTTCCCTCCTTTAGAATCCGAAAGCCTCTTTCTTTTCGGGCTGGATGGCTCTTTCCACCTATTTGCTGTGCCTCTCTTCTGGGTTTTTCCTTTCTCCTCATCAAGGAACTCAGACTCTTTCTCCATGGCAACAGAAGCTGCTTCTATTTCACTGGCTGCTGCTTCTCTTTCTTTTCTCAGCATACATGTCACAGCTCTGTTAAGTCTCTGGCTCTTAATACCCTTAGCCTCCTGTTTCTCCTGTTGGGCTAATCTAAAGAAAGAATCAATTCGGAGCTGTGTCTAAAAAAATGAAATAATAATCAATCAGACAAGGAAGTAAACTTTCCAAAGCAAATCAAAGAATCCCACCTTATGATTAGTGGCACTGGATGACTCTTTCAGAAAATACCAATTCATTCTCTCTCAAAAGGGTAAGCTTATGGCTGATTCATGTTGATGTATGGCAAAAACCCAACATAACATTGTAAAGCAATTATCCTCCAATTAAAAATAAATATTTTTTAAAAGGGAAGAGAATGAAAAAACAAAAAGTCCATCTCTCCCAAATGAATGCTGGCAGTAAATTCTACTTTCAAGATCATACTTGAAAGTACCACCTCTGTCAACTAATCCTTCTGCCCACATATCAAGTAAGAAATCCCTTCGTCAGCATTCAAAGAGAGTTAAATATTTTTCAGGGACAAAATCATCTTCTTTTATAGCAACACGATTTCATGGGGTCTGTTTCTAAATTCTACTCTTTCCTTTTAAAAACACTGTCATCATGATCCCTTTAGGAAGCAACTTCACAGTATTATATATTAGGAGTCGTAAGAAATATTCTTGACTTTTGTTCTAAAAATCCACTTTCAGAAAGTCATTCCTTAAAAATAGCTGTTTGAGAAAAGTTAAATGCCTGATGTTCATCACAGCATTACATACAAAAACCTGAAAATTCAAGGTCCACTATGGGAAGTGAACCAATTAAATTTAAGTTAAATCTCTTTGACAAAATGATGTAATCTGGACATTTAAAATGAAAGCTATGCAAAAACACACACACAGAAAAACTTACCCTAACCAGTGAATGGGGGGATTATTTATATCAAATTGCAATTATGTCTGGTAAGAAATATATGTTGGAAGGAGGGGAAAAGTAAGAGAAAACAGACCTAAATGTTAACATCTATGTTGGAAGAAGCAAACAACTTGTAATTTTATTTTTTTCACTTTCTAATTTCAGAGAAATAAACTTATATTAACTTCTACAATGAAAAGGGAGAACAGTATTTCAGAAAAATTCATCTGAAATTAAGCAGTAATCAGTCACTAAGCCAACTAGCTTTCCTTGTTGGTGGGCATACAAGGTCTCCAGTACAGAAAGTCGTCAAACAAACCACATGAAACTTTCTGGAAAGGCGGTCTACTTCAGCTTCATGTTTTTTTCATGATTAACCCAACCTAACTGAAAAGGATTTAATCTGAACATGTATGTTGCAGGATTTGGTCTGAATTCTGCAGAATGATTTACCTGTATGTACATTTTGTGGGCTGTCTCTGGGGTGAGAGGAGGTTCCTGTGTGGGTAGGAACACACTCGTGGATAAAACAAGATGCTGTTACCTACCCAAGGGTATTGAGGGCCATACGGAGGCCTCTTTTACAGTCGCTTAGTCATGTTTGACTCTTTGCAACCCCATGGACTGTAGCCTGCCAGGTTCCTCTGTCCATGGAATTCTCCAGGCAAGAATGCCGGAATGGATAGCCATTCTCACCAGGGGATCTTCCTGACCTAGGGATCAAACCCAGATCCCCTGAATTGCAGGCAGATTCCTTACTATCTAAGCCACCAGGGAAGCCCCACAAAGTAAAAGTAACATGTCTTTAACAGCTGGCCATCACAGCCTTACTAACTTTATTCTCTATCCTGAACCTAGGAAAAGAGCTGTCACAATTACCTGATGGACATTCAGTTGCTTTAATACAGGAAACAGAGATTCATCTGTCTTCGTCCTGTTCCAGCCAAAATAACGCTGACAAAATATGCAGGCAGTTAAGACTTATACTGTTTTTAAAGATATTTACAGGTGATAAGTAAAAAGGTCCAAACAACCCACCCTTGACTCCACTTCCCATGTCTCCAAAGATTTTCAAAGATTAAAATGGTAAAAGAAGATAAATTACTCCAACATAATGGCAGTATGTTCTTATAAATATCCACTAAGATAAAAGACATCCAACTCTCATTTTAGGACACTCAAGTGACTATGAAAAAAGATTAATATAGGATAAAAACATTTCTGATATCATATATATTTCTTTGAAAGAAAAAGATGTAGTTTAAATTAATACTACTGCAAACTTTAAAATATCTATCCAAGTGATTATTTAAATAAGCAGAAAAGAATAGTAATAAAAAGAACAAACCTAATCATCTTTTCTATTCTTTCAGAATAAACACTTCAATATGATTGCTTATCACTATTTATTTCAAATAAAGATCCTCCTTATACTCTGGTTTCTCTTCAGACCGTATAAATCTTTCGCCTTTTTCTAAAGATTTCCATGGAGAGGAACAATTCTGAGTCTTAAACCAATTTTTTGAGGCCTTGCTTTTGCGAGACTTAAAAAAAAAAAGATCCTCTTTAAAACTAAAGAGATGATTGACAATAACTAAAACATGGAAGGGACCCAAGTGTCCATCAACAGATGAATGGATAAACAGAATGTGATACTACATACAATGGAACAGTATTCAGCCTTAAAAAGGAAGGAGAGTCTGCCACATGCTACAGTTAGATGAACCTTGAGGATATGCTAAGTGAAATAAGCCAGTCACGAAGAGATCTATACAGTATGGTGTAACTTACGTGATGAACATACATGGAGTGGTCAAAGTCACAAAGACAGAAAGCAGATGGTGGTGGCCAGGGTCATGGAGGGGGACGGGGGGCTCGTGTGTAATAGGTACAGAGTTTTAGTTTCAGAAGGTAAGAATAATATGGGGGTGAATGGTGATGACGGTTACACAATAATGGGAAAGTATTTCCTAATCACTGAACAAGTACACTTAAGATGGTTAAAATGGTAACGTTTAATTAAGGAGAGAAAGGAACAGAAAGGAGCATCTTAGCTAAAGCAATATTAAGAAAAAAGTGATCCAAGTTCATGTTTCGTGGGTTTTAAACCAACACACACATTTGACTTGATGCTCCCTGTGTCTGCGGAAGGGAAAGGATACTCTCTGATCTTGTCAAGGTCGGGCTTGCCCCACAGAAACGACCCCTTGGACTCGTCCACCACAGGCTTGAGGTAAGCGTCCGCCACGGCCGGGTTAGGGAAGCCAGGCGTGAGTTGCAACTTGCGCAGCTTTTTTTTCACTTTGGTGTCATATGGATTCGGCCTTATCTTCTTATTCTCCTGGGCTTCGTGCCACCACTCTCTACAAGGCAAAGGAGACCAGTCTTCATGAAGCAGTGAGAGCTTGTAGCTGGTGCACCGCAGACAAAGCTAAACTAAAGTTTAGCCACAACTCCTGTCTCTTTCCCAGGGGTAAAATGAAATAACGCATGCGTGCACTCGGTCCTGTCCGACTCTGCAATCCCATGATCTGTAGCCCACCAGGCTCCTCTATTCATGGAATTTTCCAGGCAGGAATACTGGAGTGGGTCGCCATTTCCTTCTCCAGGGGATGTTCCCAACCCAGGGTTCGAACCTGTGTTTCTTGCATCTCCATCACTGGCAGGCGGATTCTTTACCAGCTGAGCCACCATGAAAGCCCAAGTTGAAGTAATGTATCTGTATTATTTACTTCAAGTCAACTACAATAAGGAACCCAAAAATATTTAATAAAATGTAAAAACACCATGAAAACTGTCAAATTTTAAAAATGCAGAATACAACTCTACATCAAATATGATCCCAATACTGGGAAAAATACATATATGTGGAGAAAGAGAGAAAAAGTACATAGGAGTATTTACAATAATAAAAAACACTAACAGCTCTTCTTTTATCCTGTGCTAGGCAATGTCCTAAGTGAGGATACAGCTGTTAATTCTCTTCATGTTTTATTCCTTATTCAATTTTTCCATCATGAGTACAAATCACTGTGGTGGGTTAGAGCCCACGTTGGCCCCTCCGCCCAACAAGAAGCAGGGTTCCACGTTCCTCCCCTTGAGCTGGGCGGGCTCTGTGGCCAAGGAAGCGACTGCCAGGCCTTCAGAAACTGCAGTCTCCACTTTCTGTCTCTTAGACTGTTTGCCTTGAAAGCTGCCGACATGCGGTGAGGGGGGTCCAGGCCCCCGGTCCACACTGCTGGCTGAGCTCTGCTGACAGCTCCAGTCTCCAGCTAGGAGCAGGCCATCTCAAGTGGCCCCCCAGCCCAGCTCAGGTGCCCCCAGCACACCTGGAAGCAGGCAAGACATCCCCATGCAGCCTGATCAAACTGCGGATTCATGAGCAAAATCTGTGACTACTGCTGTGTGAAGTCACTGAGACTTAAAGTAGCTTGTAATGCAGCCAACAGCCAGAACATTTTATACAGTTTAGGATAAATAAATGGCATGAAAGTTAAAAAACGTAACTATAACCCTTTACAATATATTCATTCAACGGAACCTAAAAAACTATCTATCACTGCTTCAATCCTGAGTCCTAGGAACTGACAGACTTGGTCTCTGCCAGTGCGGCCCCTCACCAAGGCAACAGTGCCCTCTAGTGCTAAGAAAGACCAACTGCAGTCTTTGTGCAGGATCGAAATGCAAAAAGGAAAAAAAAAAGATCTATCTTCATCAGTTCTATATTATTGTCCAAGAGGGCAATGGGAGAATACCTCTATGTCTCCCCTACTGGCCTGTGAATTTTCATCTTTGACACAATAATCATGACTGCCGCTAGGAAGAGCGGCACAGCAAACTCATCAAACCAAAAGGACCACCGCTCCTTAAAGCAAGCGGCCCAGGCACTTAAAACATGGATGAAAGACAGCCATGATGAGCTGCCCATCAGCTGAGCTCCAGGGGGACGACAGGGAGTGGCAGCGACCGGGACAAAACTGAAGGCTTCGTGCCCTGACCAACGCAGTGGAGTGGAATTGCTCTTCTCTGCTTTGGGACTATTTGGGAATCTGGGCCCAGCACTTTAAGGTCTCATTTCCCTTCCTCCAAAATTTTCTGTGAAATCTCCCCCAATTTCAATGTTGGTAGCCAACTCCAAATCAAAGAAGAACATACTGTGTAGGTCAAACCCAACACAGCTGGGCTGAATTCAGCCCGTAGACTCGGAGTAGCTCTGCCTTAGTGGGGAGTAATCAGCCAGGGTCTGGGTTGAAGGGAAAGCAGAGAAGCAAGCAAGGCAACTCTGTCTTTCTGCCCCTCACCCTTTTCATGCCCTTTCTATCTGCCATCGACGAGCTAAGACGTATATTCCCACTCCCCGGTCTGGCTGATCTCCCTTGGCACGCTCAGACACAGAAGTACCCGTACACGCACGCTTCCCCTGGCCCCAGGGCGCAGCAGCTCCTAAGTGCACAGCCTGTGACTCGGCCATCCTGCCTATTCCAGCCCAGCACACTGGCGCATTATGGCTCCTCAAAAAACATGTGAAGGAATGACATGGTAACTTTTACACTCCCAGGAAATCCTGCAGGACTGGCTACGGAGCCTTTAGCTCAGATAAAAAATATAATCTAAATATAAGTTTCTCTGATTTCCTCAAACTCTAGAAAAGGGAAAACAAACTTCAGAACCCCAACTGTTACCTCCTACTTTCCCAATGAAGAATGATCTGTGACAGTTGATGATGTAAATAATAGTCCTGTTTAATTTGGGTGTTTATACATAAACACCTGAACTAAAGAAATTAAGAAAGGACTTTAAAAAAAAAAAAAAGAAAGGACTTACGAGAATTTTCGGAGTGGTTCCAGGCCATGTCCAGGGAATTCATTGAGAATTTCCATGGCGGTAACACAACCCACAGTTGGTATTCCTTCTGTATAATCACTTCCAAGCAAATAGGCCAAATTTATTAATTTGTTCCGGTCCAATCCTGTAAGAGTAAAAATTATTACATATTTTTACATCTTTTATTTTGTTTTATAAACATTTATTACATAAGATTTATAACTATTTTCTTATAATGATAATATGTGTGTATATCCTCATCCAATGTCCAAAGATATCTGTTTCATTATTTGAAACAGGATTCTCTTTTGTAAACGACATTGCGTTAGGATTTTTAATGTTTCATCCATCCTCACAGTTTTCAATGCCCTATAACCTGTGACCCCCAAATGCAGCTCTCTCCCTGAAACCACTCCTCTGAACCACAGTCACACATAATCAAGTGTCCACCAGGATGTCACATGGGCGTCTCAGAAAAAACCCAGTCAGGCCCAGATCTTCAGGGTCCTCCAACCGGCTCCTTACCGTTCCGCCTCCTCACTCAAGGCAAGTCCACTCTATACACATGAATTCTGGGAAGACACAATTCAGCCCAAAACCACCTCCATGCCTCTCTAGAACATGCCAACCAGGTTTCTTTATGCCTCAGAGCCTTTGCACATGCCAGTCCCTCTGTCAGACATGCTGACCCCAAGGTACCTGTAGCTCCTGCTTCCTCTCTCCTTTAGCTCCAACCACAAAGGTACGATTAGTAAAGCCTTGTTTGAACACAAAGGACACACACTTCCTGTGACTGCAGGACACTCTCGCCTCTTTTGTGGTTTTATTTTTCTATTTGGCTCACACTGCTGTCAAATTATGATTTATGTGTTTTTATCATCTGTGTCTCCCGCTGGACTGTTTTATTCTCTGCTGTTTCCCCACTTCCCAATGCCAAGAACAACAACTGGCATATAGGAATCACTCAGTGTGTATTTGCTGAAGGAATGGAAGGATGAGGGATTACTGCCAGAAATAATACAGGACCCTGAGGCTCATGATTGCGGTGGAAGTGACTCGCACCTGCCTCCCCTCTCTGCCACCTCCAGTTTACTCTGGAGAGCACAGGTAACCAATCGAGTGTAACCAGGTCTGAGGACTGAAACTGCAGAAAACATCTAAACATGACAAGGGCTTTAACTTCTTCATTCTGGATTTCCCTGGTAGTATGGTGGATAAGAACCTGTCTGCCAATGCAGGGGACATGGGTTTGATCCCTGGTCTGGGAAGATCTCACATGCTGCACAGCAACTAAGCCCCGGAGCCACAACTACTAAAGCCCATGCACCTTGAGCCCGTGCTCTGCAATGAGAGAAGCAACCGCAATGAGAAGCCCATGCACCACAGTGAACAGTAGCCCTGGTCACCTAACTAGAGAAACCCTGCACTTAGCTTTCTGCGAAGACCCAGTGCAACTAAAATAAAGCAATAAAATCCTATTCTTCAGAAGCAAAAGACCATCATACGAAAACATGTATGTGAAAGGGTTAGCCACTCAGTCATGTCCAACTCTTCGCAACTCCATAGACTGTAGCTCTCCCGGTTCCTCTGTTCATGGCATACTCCAGGCAAGTACAATGGAGTGGGCTGCCATTTCCTTCTCCAGGGGATCTTTCTGACCCAGGGATCGAATATGGCCTCCCCATACCATTTCTATTAATACACCAACTAGTCACTTGGAAAGAAAGAATTCATAATATAAATTCCTAAGGTAAACTTCAAAAAGTAACCGTACTCTGGAGTCTTACCTAATTGGTTGTGAAAGTCCACATACTGGTAATATTCTACAAACTTGTTTTTATTGAAGAAGTTTTTGTAGACGTGCCGCGCCCCGAACAGCCAAATATCACTGTCATCGGTGATGGTTCCGGAAGTCTGGTCGGTCAGATCCAGGATGGCGCACTGAGCCTCTGCTTCCATGGGAGCCTCGATGTAGGGGATACCGAACAGGCGGAGCAGTTCCTGAAGAGACAGACCCTCCATGAGCCCTGCTGAGGAGCGGGACCTGGCCTCCCCCCGGAAGTGGAGGCCGTGACTAAACGTGTCAGTCAGTGCACGTTGCCTCGGGGGGTCTGATTCAGTAGAGACATGGCAGGTGTTGTTCAAGGAGGCCGCGGCCGTGCACCCACCTGGCTTTCCAAGAACATCTGCCCTGTCACAGTAGCGGCCACCCGTTCTTGCTGCTGTTTTTGAGCTTTCAGTGAGTCCTGCTGGGTTAAGAGGTTGCTCTCCAGAGCCTCCAGCTCGTCCTGTAAAATAATTTAATTTGTAGACGACTATACTACTAACCCAGTTAAGTTCGCTGGTTCTAAAAAGTCTGCATTTAGTCTGACTAAAGTTGCCATAACTGTTTCGGCTTACAAAGCTTTCCACTTGGGCTTCTGAGCAAGTCTGTAAAACCTTTAGGGTTCCCTCACTACCTCACACAGGGAACGGACACTATCCCAGCCGGCAACCTACGGGAGAAAGGAGCCGTCAGGAGGAGCAAGAAGATGCGCATGAGCAGCTAGTAAGGATTCAACCTGCAACTCCTGGGAAACGCAAACGCTACTTAACTCGGCTTCCTTAGCAGTGAGTGAGAGCACGATGTCTCGTTATTACCAGATCGATATCTTGCCACTCGTTGAGCGAACTGTCTGCATCTTTTTCAGTCTCTCCGTGTTGCTCAGTAGCCACAGCCTCACTCTCAGAAGTATCTCTCGGGAGGCCCTCGGAGTCACCAGTGGCTTCTTCCTTCTCAGTTCCTGTCGGTTCCTCCTCGCCTTGTCCTGAGGGAGGTCTGGAAGCTTCCCGTGACTCGGCCTGAAGTTCATCACTGCTATTTACACTCTGCACTTCGATGAAACTTCCTGTACCAAAATAATGAGGTCACTGTGTCTACAAGTGAAACATTACAGTTATCCTGAAATCGAGAGCTTTCCAAAGAGTCCTGAAAAGTGCTCTACCCTAAAAAGGAAAGACCTAAAAGTAAAACAAAACACATAACCACAGTATATTATTATTAAATAGATTTAGCAGTGTCTGTAACTTCAAAATAAGCCTCTTCAACTAGATATACTGGCACTGTCTTTGAAATTAGGAACTGAGCTTTCAATACTTACATAATCTGCTTTATACAAAAATGTTTTCTAAATTAACTAATATTGTTTCAAAATTTAAAAAGAACTATCAGGGTATGTACACAATTATGGAGGTTGCCGAAAACGTTTCTATGCAGTTTCACTATGAACACAGCAGAGAAAAAAGCTGTGACTTAGAAAGAAAGCCCTGGAGAAAGACTCAGGAGAAACAGCTCTTCTTCTTCCATGTCCCTTCCCTCCTCTCTCGATGTTTCTTCTTCTCTTTAAAAAGCATTTATGGACTAAATCCCTTCCTCTACTTCAGGTGAAGAGGACTGGCTCTGAGGACACACTCAAGACAGAGAACCTGGGGCTCTCAGGGCTGGGGGCTGGGGCCAAGGAGACTGCCGTCCTCCAACGAGGCGGCCAGGGAGACCAGGAGGTGGTTACAGAGAATGAGCCAATACGTAAATACACTGAAGACAGTGGAAGGTCCTTCACTGTCAGCCAGGGAAATTACAAAGAGGTCAGAGAATGGAGTGAGAGCTGTGACGCTGGAGAAGAACTGCAGACACGAGTGTGAGCTCAAGGGTGTTGCATGCCCCCATGAACAGGTGCAGGGGTTGGGATTCCAGCCCCATCGATGGCCCCAGAGCTGGAGCTCCCTGGTCTATGCTGCACCGGTCTCCACCCTCTGGTCACCTCTGCAGGGGAGTGGAACCAAGAAGGCAGACTGTCTCCTGCTCAACCTCAGCTGGGAAGTGTGGTCACTCAAGGTTTTGGTCATTCTGCATGTCTGCAGATGACCACAAAGACACCACTGTGAGGACGGATTCTGAGCTAAGAAATAAATTTTAATGAGTAGACAATTTTGCAAATATGAAAAATGAGGTTTGACTGTACATGCTGCTGCTGCTAAGTTGCTTCAGTCATGTCTGATTCTGTGCGACCCCATAGACGGCAGCCCACCAGGCTCCCCCGTCCCTGGGATTCTCTAGGCAAGAATACTGCAGTGGGTTGCCATTTCCTTCTCCAATGCATGAAAGTGAAAAAGTGAAAGTGAAGTCGCTCAGTCATGTCTGACTCAGCGAACCCATGGACTGCAGCCTGCCAGGCTCCTCCGTCCATGGGATTTTCCAGGCAAGAATACTGGAGTGGGGTGCCATTGCCTTCTCCGTTGACTGTACATAAATGTGTATAAATATATAATATCCATGTGTATATGTTTATATATATATATATATAGAGAGAGATATGGAAAAACCAATGTGGTAAAATGCCAGTAATGAGGTTCTAGGTGAGGGAGATAGAAGGTTTTGAAGTATTTTTTTCAACATTTTTAAACTTTCTAATTATTTCAAAACAAAAACCTAAAAAAGTTAAAGGGAAACTCACCTTTATCTTCTCCAACTAGGGCACTTCCTCCCTAATTTAAGTTCAACAAAAAGAGCAGCCACCAGGAAAGGTCAAGATCGCATTATGAGCTATGTGTCCCTGGCAAAGCCACTTGACCCTTCTGGGTCTCCAGTTAATTAGCTGAACAATGTGGACCTGGACCATGCTCAGGTGTGAAATCCTGCTTTTCTTTATCTCTTAGGAAAGCACAAGCACCTACCGTCAGATTCGCTGTCTTCGGAGTCTACTTCTGTTGGTTCTGTGGACTCTGGCACCAAAATCAAACCCTGGCCTGCAGATTCAACAGTCTCATGTTCTTGGATGGTTTTCAAGAAATTCTCATGCTCTGGGGCACTAACAGATGCCACATTTCCTAAGCCACTTACTGTCTCTCTAGCGACACTCAGGGTGTTACTCGAGTCCTGCAAACTGGTGGTGCCAACGACGTCAGGAGCAGGATGTTTTTCAGATCCTGTTTCGTCATCACTTGAGAGAACAGAGGTGTCATGTTTACTCTCGGGGGGAAGAGCCTGCTGTGGCTCGGACACTTTGGTGTACGTCCCACTCCTTGACCCAGAACTTGGGCTTGTCGGAGGTGTTGGTATCTGCTCTGGTCCCCCCCAGAGCCCAGGCGCATCCCCATGTGGCACCACGGTGCTTTCTAAAGGAACAAGATCTTTTCCATCCTGAGCTGTAGACTCAGCGCTGGTCTGAAAGGGTTCCTTCACCACGTGCATAGATGGCGTCTGTTCTTTTGGAAGGCTAGACTCGCTGCCTTGACAAAAGACAGTCCGTGGTAAAGGAGCCGAGTCTGTCCGCTCTTTTTCATCACTGGTATGGGTCACATGGTCCTCTGTGAGGATCACACTGGCAGCGCAAGGCGCTGCCGTCAACAGCTCTCTGTCTCCATCTCTCACTTGAGGTTCTTCCGCAGCTTCCTCATCAGAACTGCTCACCAGCGGTCTTGGTTTTCTCCTGCCCGCCCCTTCTGTCTGCACACTGGCATGTACTTTCAGATCTTCATCATCATCATCGAGAGCTCTCTGAATGGCCAAGAGGGTCAGCGGGGACACAGAACCCTCAGGGGCGGGAGCAGGTGGGCTCTTCACATCACACAGCCTGCGATGCTCACCCTCCAGCTCATCTTCTGAGCTACTGCCCAGCAGGGCAGCCTGCATGGCCAGCAAGGTTCTTGGGGAGGGCGGGGAGGCGTGAGGCTCTTTCTTTGACTTCAGTTTTTCACACGGAGGTGACTTTGTGTCTAAAGCCCTGCTATGCTTTTCGCTGCAAGAAGGAAGGGACTCTGAATCCACTTCTGTGACTTTCTTAGCTTGAATACCTTGAGAAAAATGAAAACAGTGTCACTAGGTCATTCTACAGGGTGACAGCATACTTCTAGTTAGGTGAGTAAGAATATACTTGTTCTCATTATGAAGTTATAAATTCTCATTTAACCAGCAACTAGGAATTAATTAATTTTAAAGTGTGTTGGTACAGTACTAGTTAATACATTAAAGGCTGTATAGATCATCACATTAATAATAATTATAGTTAATAAATTAAGTAGGGCTTCATTCGTATTATCTGCAGGTGGGAGTTGATAGAATTCAGAGACGCAACATACTTCTGGGTTTTAACCATCAAGTAAGTGACGGTATGTGGTACCTTTTATCAAGATGTAGTGGGAAGTGTCCTCAGAGACCACTCTCTTGGACTCCACCTCCTTCAGAAAGCCTCCTTCATCTTCATACTGCCTTTGGATTTGCCCTGAATGCTGCTGATTCATTTCCTTCTCGACATTTTCTATGTGTTGGTTTAGATAGTTTTTTTTAAGCAAGCCTTTTAGCTGGTACTGTGAAAAGTCATTGGACTCCTAAAACAAAATAAATCGACAGAATGATTTCATATATTAAATACAGATAGCATTCCCATACTTCCATCCTTATCCCCAAAGGAGATAAAGAATAACTAATTTTTCCCATTGGTGGTATTTTTACACTAGAAAAGTAAAATGTGAATAGTAGGGGAAAGCCATAATTGCCTTGTTATAGAGTAATCTTTCAAACAAAAAGAACTGGGTAAGAGAAAAGAAATCATGAATCCTGTTTATGATTCAATTATTTACTCAAGAAACATTTACTGAGCGTGGGATGCCCACCAGGGAGTCTGAAATATTGACTGTGGCTTAACAGACAGTTTTTTAGAATGCAAGTGAAGTGCTGGTCCCTGGTTCACAAAAGACACACGATAAATCATTGTAGTCAGTTATTAATAATATTTAACATTTACAGCGCATCTCCTGAGTAAGGCATTCTTCTAAGTGTTTTTACATATATTATCCCATTTTATTCTCAACCATGAAGGAGACAGAAGTCATTATCTCCATTCTACAAATGAAGAAAGTGAGACTCAAACAGTTTAAGTAACCCCTCTAGAACCGTGTGGTTAGTTACATGGTAGATCTGGGTCAAAACCAGGTTGCTAAGCCTTATACTAAATTATTACCAAGATTATTATGATTACTCATATTCTCACCAACATTACTATTATCAACATTGCACTTGCCTGATGTACAGACAATGCAAAGGTCCAACCTGACTGACTCAGAACTTCCCTCAGCTACCAGAATGACAGATCCAATGGGCTGTGCCCCACTCTACCCTGGCCAACCCAGCCCAGAGGCTCTGCAGAGAGAAGAAAGAGAAGAAATGGAGCAAGGCATTGGGACTCTTTTTCTACCATCTGTTCCACTACTGTTTACATAATCCAAATTCTGTTCCCTCAAAGACAAGCCAGAGGTCCTTTCACACTCAAGAAATAAAACACTTGACTGAGGGCTTCAGAGGGCTTCCCTGGCGGCTCAGGAGTCAAGAATCCACCTGCCAATGCAGGAGAGACTGGTTCAATCCCTGGTCCAGGAAGATCCCACAGGCTGTGAACAACTCAGCCCATGCCCCACCACTACTGAGCCCGTGCTCTTGGGCCCAGGAGCTGCAACTACTGAGCCTGCTCGCCCTAGAGCCCGTGCTCCCAACAGGAGAAGCCCGCACAGTGAGAAGCCCATGCACCGCAACAAAGGAAGCTCTGCACACCCCACAACTGGAGAAACGCCCGTGCAAAGCAACAAAGACCCGGTGCAGCCAAAAGCAAATAAATAAAAATTATTTTTAAAAATGCTTGGTTGATAAACTGAGCATGGATTCCCCCCTCTCCCAAGATGAAATTAAGTTTACTTCTGTCCTTTGTACATCATTTCTGTACACCTTAGTGTTCTCCTACATTCATGTGCTTCATGGAAAAGCAGAAAGGGAGTGATGGGAAAAGAAACAGCTCCTGCCCTTTTCATATTTTTTGTATCAATCTACGAAATGTTCAAAAGTCTGTAGAAAAAAAACAAGCCCCACATCCATTCATTAGCAATATTACAAAATTTATGGGAGAACAATGTTAGAAAGAACAGGTTGTAGCAGTAGGAAGGAAAACAAGACTCATTCACCAGCTAAACACAGTAATGATGGTGCAGTAAGACCAGGGAACACACTCAATAGAACCCAATTCCATGCACCACCCCACTTCAAGTTTCTGTGGCTACAAAGCCACCATCAGAGGCTCCAAGTTGAGGAATTTACCACTGAATCCCTGTTACCACTGTCCAGAAAGAGGAAGAGAGAAGATGGAAGATCTGACTACACTTTTAGCCTTCAGGGGAACAGATACCTGGAATTTCAAGTTAGAATAAACTTCTCCACTGTGACTAGGTTCTATATTATTGCTAATATTCTACAATATATATGATGGATTAAAATAACTTTCATGAACTAACTTAAGGACCAAACTACTAAGTATCTACTATGTGAAAAATACTGAGCTGAGTGCTGAAAATACAGAAGAGCACAAGGTAGGCACGTTTGGGTGCTAAGAATATAAAGAGACACCACAGGGAGCTGTCAGAACACAGAGCAGGAGACGAGACTTGGTCTTGGTGGAAAGTCAAGAGATCTTCTGTGAGTAAGTATCTGTAAGTTCCGACTTATACATAAATGATGTTTCACAGGATCTCAGAGCTATGCAAAGGCTATTTACTGAAAACAACAGATCGTGTGAGTAATGTTTATCAATATTCTTTAATTTTAACAAAAATTTTGCTGACATTCTTAACTTTACACATTAACGTGCTGTTGTATACTTCACCTCTGGCATTGCTTCAAATAATGTTCTTCTCCGCTTAGTAAATTCCTTCATATCAGTCAAGATTTCATGCTTTACTTCAAGGGGCAGGCTGTTGAAATCTTCAGACTCAATGTCAATTGCATGAGGATTGTGAAAGAACTCTTCCTGTAAAGAGTGAAACGTAACACCATGACATTTACATTTTATGCACTTAACTCTATTCACCATGCCAGACTGTGTGTGTGTGCTTGTATAGAGTTCTACATAATCTACAGTAGGCTAAACACATACATAATCCGCAACAGGCATTAAAGTGAATGGACAGGTGAGGGAATACATCCATTTACTCATTCAACAGTACATGAACCGAGAACTTCCAGATGTTCAAGCTGGATTTAGAAAAGGCAGAGGAATCAGAGATCAAACTGCCGACAACTGCTGAATTATAGAAAAAGCAAGAGAATTCCAGAAGCATATCTACTTCTGCTTCATTGATCCTAAAGCCTTTGACTGTGTGGATAACAACAAACTGTGGAAAATTCTTAAAGAGATGGGAGTATCAGACCACCGTACCAGCCTCCTGAGAAACCTGTATACAGGTCAAGAAGCCACAGTTAGAACAACACGTGGAACAACAGACTGGTTCAAAACTGGGAAAGGAGTATGTCAAGACTGTATATTGTCACCCTGCTTATTTAACTTATATGCCAAGTACATCATGTGAAATGCCGGCCTGGAGGAAGCACAAGCTGGAATCAAGATTGCCAGGAGAAATATCAGTAACCTCAGATATGCAGATGACACCACCCTTATGGCAAAAAGCAAAGCAGAAGTAAAGAGTCTCTTGATGAAGCTGAAAAAGTGAAAAAAAGTGGAAAAAAAGTGAAAAACCTGGCTTAAAACTCAACATTCAAAAAACAAAGATCATGGCGTCTGGTCCCATCACTTCATGGCAAATAGATGGAGAAACAATGGAAACAGTGACAGACTTTATTTTCTTAGGCTCCAAAGTCACTGCAGATGGTGACTGCAGCCATGAATGGAAAGACGCTTGCTCCTTGGAAGAAAAGCTATGACAGAATATTAAAAAGCAGAGACATTACTTTGCCAACAAAGGTCCATCTAGTCAAAGGTATGGTTTTTCCAGTAGTCATGTATGGATGTGAGAGTTGGACCATAAAGAAAGTTGAACACCAAGAATTGATGCTTTTGAATGGTGGTGTTTAAGAAACTCTTGAGAGTCCCTTGGACTGCAATCCTAAAGGAAATCAATCCAAAATATTCACTGGACAGATTGATGCTGAGGCTGAAGCTCCAATACTTTGGCCACTTGATGCAAAGAACTGACTCACTGGAAAAGACCCTGATGATGGGAAAGACTGAAGGCAGGAGAAGGGGACAACAGAGGATGAGATGGTTGGATGGCATCACCAACTCAAAGGACATGAGTTTGAGCAAGCTCTGGGAGATGGTGAAGGACAGGGAAGCCTGGCATGCTGCAGTCCATGGGGTCACAATGACCTGTGAGCAGAAACTTGAAAGACACCAAAAATTTTCTCAGGGAAGAGCATTCTCAGGGAAGGGACAGTAAATGCAAAGATCATGAGACAGAGACGAGCCTTATGCATTTGACTAATATTTATAATTGCTTCAGTTAGATACATTCTGTTTTGCTCTTAACCTAGTGACTCAGTTGGTAAAGAATCTGTCTGCAATGCAGGAGACCTGGGTTTGATCCCTGGGTTGGGAAGATCCCTTAGAGAAGGAAATGGCACCTCACTCCAGTATTTTTGCCTAGAGAATTCCATGGACAGAGGAGCCGGGCAGACTACAGTCCATGGGGCCGCAAAAAGTTGGACACAACTGTGCAACTTTCACTTTCACTTTTTAAAATCAAAAGTGAAATTAACTGTGAGAAATTTCACAGACATGCAAAAGTGTAAAACTTTTCTAAATTTTAACTTGATTAATGAAAGTACTTTGAAACTCTTCATTAGTAAAGATAAAATAATACAGCTTGCTTTCTTGTATGTATGTGTGCTGTGTGTTTGTTGATCAGCAAGCACTTAAAATGGGCCAGTCATTTCAGTCAGAGCTTCCAATGTTCTCCCTCAAGAATGATCTCATCACTCCAACAGGGAAGGCATCAAAAATTAAAAAAAAAAAAAAAAGCACCACGGAGAAGCTAAGTTGTGTAAGACCTAAGATCTCAGAGCTAGTGAGCAGGGGAGCCCTGATTTATCTGCAGGTCACTCTGCCCACAGAGCCCATGGTCTTCACCAAGTCTCTGCTCTTTGGCTGTGATAATAAGGCAGGACCTCCATGAGCTGAAGAAGCTTGGAAAGTCTTGCAAAGCTCAAAAGTCTTCTAACAGACATAGTCAAATACTATTATAAATAGACAAGGGAATCAAAGAATGTTACCTGCTATTCTGAGAAACTTGCAGGAAATTTCAAAAACTTGTATCCACAGCACAAGCTCGATTTGTAAGCATGTTATTCGTTACACTATAGAATGCATCCACAGGTTCTCTGACTTTCTTTTCTGGATGAATTCCCCTCCCACCCAGTAGGTGCTGACCTTACCCGGCAGCCAGTGAACAGCGCGCCATGAACGGGAGGCTGCGCATCCCCCAAGGCTGTCAGAAAGGGTAGCACGGGCCCAGCGGTCACTTCCTCTTGGGCTCCTGCCCTGGGAACCCGCCACCACTGTGCCTGAGCTCAGGACAGTCAGACAGGGGTTCTGACAGACTGCCAGCATCAGCAGCAGGGCACGCAGGTGAGGAGGCCTGGAGGGGCTCCAGTCCCGGCTCCAGCCTGACTGCACCCACACTGGAGACGCTCAAGGAAACTGCCCCCTGCACTCGTTAACCCCCAGGTCAGCGAAGACGATGATAATAAGACTGTTGTCACAGCACTAAGTTACACAGAAATAGATAACTACAGCCTGTGCACCAGCATAGATCTTCGTAAATGTATATGTACCCATGTACCCGTGAAACATATACACATTTCCAAACACACATACACACACAGATATGCAACTATACAGGGTGGGAGGGGCACTAACATACAGCAAAATGCTACTAGAAGTTATTCATGGGTGATATGCTTTCCATATTTTTATATAAGCATTAATTATTATACTATATAAGCATTATTATATTTATTTACAGATTGGCTAAAAAAGAGAGATGGCTTATTTTGGGTATCTAGATATGCATAATTCCATATATGTTTATAAGCATGTGTATATTTTATATAATGCATGCACACATATATATACACAACAAATAAGGTAATATCTGTCTGTCTTTCTTATCAAGAACATTCATAAGTCCATACTACCTCATTAAAATCATTCATTTTCACGTTATTCATTTCAAATACTAATAATAGAATGAATCCTGAAATCAAAAATTATTTAAATACCTGTAATGCCTGCTTCTGACTCATTCTTTCTTGCCATTCTTTTTCATCCTCCTCTTCTGAACTGAAAGTCAAATACAGATTTATAATACCTATGATTTAATGACAACTTACAAAAATATTTCTTGAGTGCAAGGCACTGCTAGTTACAGAAGCTACAGTGGTGAATAAGATGGCAAGAACTGAGCCATCTTTGGTCTCACTGTCTGGTGGGGACACCTGTAAGGGAGTGATCATAACAAGATCTAACACCTTCCATCACCAGGGCAGAGCAGGTTTGTCAAAGGGACAATTAAGAGTCACCTCGCCGCAGAAGCTTTCTGAAGTCTCTCGCAATTACACTGCTTGGAGAAAAAAGAAGAAACTAGAAAGTGTTTTAAGCAAGGACACGACAGTATCAGATTTGAGTTTTAACAGGTTCTACACTACAAATCAGCAACTGGGCCTGACAGGAGTTCCTCCAAAGGGTAAGATCAGAGATGGAGACAGAAGTGCAGAAGCCAGGCCAATAACCTCGAGACACAGTGATGGCAGCAGCGGGGATTCAAAAGCTGTGTGGCCTCACGGAAGCCCTGGGAAAGGAAGGGGTGAGCGGGGAAGGACAAACTGGCCCTCCACCTGCACTGCAACCAGAGAAGCCGCTGAGGATTATCAGCCAGCAGGAGGAAGAGCGACCTGAGAGGCCCCCGGAAAGCAGGACCATGTGGGCACCAATCAGCCTGAGAACTGCAAAGCAGCCACTGGACTTAACAAGGGAGGGCATCGTGTGTGTGGACTTCAGCGATGGTGAGAGAGAAAATGCCAGGCTGAGAAGCACATTCAGACGGCAGGTGTCAGCAAAGACTCAGAAAAAACAGAATCCACATCTCCACAAACTCTAAATGAACAGTGCTAACACAGGCTCCTGAGGAGGAAGAAAGGAAACCACCACAAACCACTAAAACACAAATAGAGTCAATAGAAGATGTAGCCTTTAAAAACCAATCTAAAAGTGTCGAGAATGTGTACTGCAGGTGCATTAATCCAACACACCTTATCATTTAAGGAAAATATAAAGGTTTAAATCTGTCTGAATGCAGCAATAACATTTTTAAATAGTTAAAACATTTACCTGTTTTTCTCTTTCTCTTGTAAAGGTGGCAAAGCGTAGATGTCATCTTCTCTCTGAACTTGAGTAAGACTGGGAAGGGCTTCCTCCCTGAAAAGTACACAGAGACGTCACCAGAGATGACAGGAAACGGTATTTTGAGAGTCAGTAGTATTCCCCATTGAACACACAAACCCAGCTGAGAACGGGAAACTTGGGGTGGGTTCTGCCCTTGCTGGCCTGCCTGCCTCCAGAAAGAGGGAACCTGGTCTTGGCATGTAGAAGACTGTTAGGAGAGTAAAACAGACAAGCGATGCAACCTAGCAGCTTTTCCTCCTTACTGTCAAAGCTGATTCTCAAAGAACAGAACAGAGAACTTCCACAACTTCAATTCACTCGGTCAAATGGACATTCCATTGATTCCTCTCATTAGGGAATGGGAATCACAGAACTCACTGCAAACATAAAAAATGTTCATCTTTGAAATGAATGTAATTCTCTGCTTGCCTTTTGCTTTTTAAGGCAGTTTTGATAACCTGTCTTTTCAAAAATGTTTTCAAAAGCTTCTCTGTGGTTGTTTTGGAGTCACTGGCGGCCAAGTCCTTTTTATGCCTTCTCTTAGCCTGTGAGAAGAAAGAATATAGGATTTTATCTCGAGGTATTAGTATATTAAAAACAATTCTGTGGCTTTTTTCCCCATGGAATTTGGTTTGTCTTCTGAGTTTTCAGATTATACCTGTTTCAGTATTTTCTCCTAATTAGTGTACCAGTGAATAGCTTCAGGTTTTTGTTGTGTAAAGGACAGTCAGAGTTTCCAACTAAGTATTACTTAATGAATTATTATACAGTGTATTTGGGAAAGCATTACTTTCTTTCTTTTAAATGTTCTTTAATGTTCCCAAGAAGCCTAAACTTAATACTATATAATTAAGTAAATGCTTCCCCAAAGGGATTATTACATCAATTAACGAGTCTTTAAAATGCTACTCTTAGGTCAAAACCAATTTCTGGTATTAGTTTTTATAAAAACACATTACTTATATGTAACTCTGCCCTTCCATATCCAAAATGATGTCATAAGAAATTTTAAATGTACAGAAATACCAAGAAATTTCCAAACAGGAAAAAATGAAATAGTCTCTGTAGTTGAATGTAAGGCAGGAATATAAAAACATTCTTTTTCTTTTTTAAATAGTTGCCATACAATATTGTGTAAGTTTAACTGTAGAACACTTAAGACAATCTAAAGGGAAAACTCTTTAGTATAACTACTGTTAACTTTAATAGTTTTATTAAAAGTTAAGTATTATTGCACCCATGTTATACAATGTTTTCAGAGGTAAATCTCTTTGAAAATAAATTATCTGTTCGTGATAAACTTTTAAAAGTTGAATTAAATTGAATATATGTCAAAGTAAGTCTTGGTTTCCAAAATTCTAAGAAGAAAATTTTAATTTTAGGTTAATTAAAATTTGACCTAAAATTCTAAGAATGCAGACAGAAAAAAAATTATATAACTCTTACCAATGTCTGTTTCTTCAATAGTGGAGCATCCCCATCAAACACAAAAATAGGACGAATTCGGAAAAATAAGAGTTTGCAGAGTCGGTGGAACAAAGTGAGAAGATGGGCGTTTTCTATCGAGTTCCCGTGGCGATCGCGGACTCCTTTAAGAGCCTGGTTTAACCAGATGCTAATATCTAGAAGAATTGTTCATGGAAAACACTCTGCAAATCCTTCCCTCCCCTTAAAATTCCCAATGTCTGATATTATCGAAACATTAAAACTGAGCACTCATCCCAATTCACTTGAAACTGAAAAATGTTCAGCCCTACTGGAATCTCCCTATAGTGAGTTCACTTTAGTTGGGCTCCTGTCATCAGTATTTACATCCTGAATTGTAAAAGCTTACACAGGCACATGTCTCCTTCAAAAAGTCTAATTGAAAGGAACTTCTTTAAAAGAAATCAGTGATCTACATGAAATTTTAGTAAATTAACCAACTCTTTTGGAGAACGATTTAGCAATTCAAAGCAAAACACTTTAAAATCTACATTCTCTTTTATGTAAGAATTCCACTTCCACAAACGTATCCTCTAGAAGTCATGATAGACTTATAATCAGAGTGACTTACAAGGTGGTTTTGTTTATAATAATGAAAATATGAAGAATGGAAGTTTTCCAACTGGTCTTTTTTTTTGTAATTAGATTATGATATCATGATTTGCTGGAATCCAAGTGACCCTTAAAAATCGAAGCTGCCTAAGCATGTAAGGCAGTCACAAATTATTAAAGGAAGAAATAAAACAGGTTACAAAAGTATGGAAAATATACATCTATTGTGTAACCTATGCATTATGTTAAATACACTCAAAGCTCAGACCTCAAAACACTGGGTTGCAGCAAAAGATGGTTCAGGGTTTTCCGTACGATACTACAGAAAAACCAGAAGGAACTTTTTGGTCAACCCAGTATTAAGAGTAGCTATCTTCTGCTGTGATTACAACTGATTGTTTTCTTCTTGGAGTCGTCTTCTATTTTTAAACTTCACTAAAGAGTGCTTTTTAACCAGTTGTTTTCTGTTTGTTCCTAAGAGAGGGACACAGCCCTCTGCTGCATTCCCTGGACCTCTGCCCACTCCCCTGGCCCACCATCAGAGTGCTCACTTCCGCGGTGGTGGTGCTCAGGCCCTGTCCTTTCCTCCTGTCCGCAGCATCCATCCAGGCTACCTCCGCCCCCCGCCCCCATTGCAGCCCCCGCAGCCCCCCACTCCACGCATGCACCTCTGCCCCAGAGCTCTCCTGACCCCAGAATGGATGGCCGAGTTGACATCTAGACCTGCTGCCTCACAGTCACTGCAGACTTGACACAAGCAAAAACTGAGATCCGTTTAAAAAAAAAATAAAACAAATCTGAGCTCCACGTCTTCTCACCAGGCTGCTCACGCCCCCATTTCAGTGGCCATCTCTCCAATCCGCTCAAGCCAGAACCCTGAGCACCACCCCATACCTTCCCCTCACCCGGCCCTGCAAGGTCCCAGCAGTTCTACCTTTTAGTCTATCCTGAAAGTGTACCTTAGATTTCATTAACATACCTATAGTGAAAACCCCTGGGAAGCTTCCCATGGCCTTTAGGATATCATCTGAAACTTCTACCCAAGGCCTGTGAAGCCCTGAATGAGCTGCCCTCTGCTCATTTCTCCTGGCTCGAGTCAAGCCACTGGGCTCCTTTCAAAGCCTGAAGTCACTGAGCTCCTTCCTTCCTGCAGGGTCTTCTCCAGGCTCTTTCCCCAGCCTGAAAAAGCTCCTCCCGCTCTGAGCCTAGAGAGCCCTCCTCTCAGGTCTCAGGTCAGATTTAGGTGTCTCGCCCTCAGCCGAGATTAAGATGTCCAGTTATCCACTCCTGTGTGAAAACACCTTGCTGACTTCACAGCAGAAATGCTTCTATGAGCTGGGGATACAGACCTAGACCAAACAAAGCATTTGGCCTAATGGAGTTTACAATCTGGTGGGGGAGCAGTCAAGACTGTGAGCTCCGTGATGTGTCTAAACCACACCGGAAGGCACGGCTCTCCCTCTCAGCGCAAAGAGGAGGCAATGAAGACCTGCAGTCGAATAAGCTGAACAGTTAAATATCTGTATGAACGACACTGCCTAACTTACCACCATAAAAGACCAGGCCCATCAACAATTAACTGAATAAACACTACACAAAATAACTAGTGGACAGCAAGCTAGATTCACTCCTAGCTTTTTGTGGGCTACTAGACATATCCAAAATCCTAAGGATAGAAGAGTGAAAAATAAAGCCATGAACAAAATAGTCAGGGTCCAGACCCGTGAGAAACGTGCAATTCTAATGGGGAAGGCAGACAACAAAAATCAAGTATAGTTACAGAATACATTAGGTTGTTGCTAAGTGCCAACGAAAAAATATAGCAAATGGACAAAAATGTGATTGGGAGTCAATGGCCCTTTAGGTGGGGAAACATCAAAAGTTGCTCAGTCGTGTCTGACTCTTTGCGACCCCATGGACTGTAGCCCACCAGGCTCCTCTGTCCATGGAATGCTCCAGGCAAGAATACTGGAGTGGGCTGCCATTTCCTTCTCCAGGGGATCTTTGCAACCCAGGGGTCAAATCCAGGTCTCCTGCATTGCAGATTCTTTACCGTCTGAGCCAACAGGACTACAACGGACAGGGAAGGCCTGTCCAAAGAAGAAACAGAGGTCTAGAGCAGCGAATGAACAGGAGGAATGAGAGAAGACAGTGAGGCAGGAGGCATAGCAAACGCAAACGCCCTGGGACAGAAGTGCATTCTGTTCAAGGACAGCGTGGCAGGTGCAAGAGGAGCAGGGAGAGCACGTGACGGACCTGCAGTCACTGGAAGGATGTGACTGAGGACTCACCCCAGTGGCCAAGTGAGGAACGAACTAGTAATACAAGGAAACCGGCTTTAAACTAGTTACAACGGCCTGAGTGAAAGCAGAATGCAGGGGTGAGGACGGGAAGCCGCCAGTTCAAGGGGCCACCCTGGAAGCAGGACTCGGTGTTGGCTTAGCTCTGTATCGTACTGGGCCAAAATTTCTAACTGGCTTGTTTCCAGTTGCTGAGCCACTGTATTAGGTGGAGTAGTTTCTACTTGACTCACTCATGAGAGTGTTAAGTCACTCAGCCGTGTGGGACCCTTTGCGACCCCAGGGACTGCAGCCCGCCAGGCCCCTCCGTCCATGGGACTCTCCAGGCCAGAACACTGGAGTGGGCTGCCGTGCCCTCTTCCAGGGATCTTCCCCACCCAGGGACTGAACCTGAGTCTCCAGCGCTGCAGGCAGATTTCTCTGCCATCTGAGCCACAGGGAATGAGAAAATCTAATTTCAGATCGGTAGCTCTCCACTCTGCTGTCCCCTGGAACTAGATATGAACCTTCTGAAACACAGGCTACTAAACACGCTGTGCTTAGTCGCTCAGTCACGTCTGACTCTGTGCCACCCCATGACTTCAGACCACCAGGCTCCTCTGTCCACGGGGATTTTCCAGGCAAGAACACTGGAATGGGTTGCCATGCCCTCCTCCAGGGGAATCTTCCCAACCCAGGGATCGAACCCAGGTCCCCCACATTGCAGGTGGGGCCTGAACAGTGTAATATTTTGTTAATAATAGAGTTAAGTGTATTTTACAAATGCTAAGGTCCATAACAGATGAAAGTTTAATTAATTCTTTATTATTTGACACGAACATTTATATTGTGTAAATAAACAAGACGCTCAGCTGGAAATGGTAAAAAGACCAAATAATTTATTTTAGGGTTTCAAGAATAAATTATGAACCTAGTATGCCAAGGGTAATTTCTTCAACAAACAAAGCCAAAAAACCTGAATACATTTTACAAATTATGGGTTGCAATGTAAACTCATATAAATTTTTGCTGACGTTTTAAGGGTTCCTGCACTGAGTACTGCTTTCATTCCTATGGATAGATAGTAATAGTTCCAAGGAGAAAACCTTCAGAAAGCAGTGGTTTAATGAGCCACTAGAGGGCAGCAACAGCTCGTGTACTTTAAAAAAACACAAACCTTCGCCCCAGGTACCAGGCATAAAACTTTTAAGCCACTATTCATTACGGATGTGTTTTAAATTACCCACATTGCAAAAATATATATATAAACCTCATCATCATCGTCCTGCTTTACTTAAAAAAAATTCCCAGTGTTCCCCACCCGCTCTGACAGTGCATTTACCACCGCAATTACTGCAGGACTGTCTTCACAGAGCATGGAGTTCCTAGGCTCATATGTCCCCACTTAGGGAACTGGTGGAAGGTACCACCAGCTTCTGCAACAGAACAGACACTCAGAAAAAGAAAATAAAGATAAAAACAGAAAAAAGAATGCCTAACGAATAAAAATACTAAAATTTCAGAAACAGCTTTCACTTGTTTCAGTAACCAGGAAAAAACATTTAATTCTAAAGATAATACCAGCCAAACACGCACACAAACAAATCCATCACAGAGGCTGGGAGAATAATGCACTGTACACCTTTTGAAATCTTTGCGGTGTTGTACCAAACGAATTTTGAATTCCAAAAATCATAACAAAAAGCAATGTCACTGAAAAATAAAAAAGAAAATGTAAAACATGTCCACACACGTTTTTCTTCCTCTCACAAATATAAACGGAGCAAGACTCAGGATGGCTGGCAAACTACTGGTAGGGAGTCGACTTCGTTTTCTCCAGGCTGACCTCCCAGCCGGAACAACATCTTCAGGATTTACAGTATTAACAGTGCCAAACACTATTTTTAAACTCCTTTCATTTAAATATTCCCTTTATTCCTCCCACCAACTCTATGTGTAGAGACTTATCACCTCCACTTCCCAGATTAAAGAACTGTAGAGAAGCGTAGAGCGCTGGGCCTAAGACTCCAAGCCAGGGAGCTGTGAGTGCAACGCGGGAGGAAAGCAGACACTGAGAAAGGAAGCGTCCTGAGGAAGATCCGATAGCTACTCCCCGCCACCGCCTCCCCCGCTGGCGTGAGACCCCACGGGCTGAGACCCTCATCGCACCAATGCCGCTTTGCGCCCCAGGAAAACTGTGAGCAAAAAGCCCAGGCGTCTCACGTTGATGTCTGACAGAAAACAACAAAATTCTGTAAAACAGTTATCCTTCAATTAAAAAAACTAAATTAACAACAACAACCCTGGCGTCCACCGAGCATCCCCAGCGCCGACGCCGCGTAAAGGATACCCACGGCAAGGATCTTCCCCTCCAGCGTCTCCGGGCTTATTTGCCGTCCGGAGCACTCCAGCAGCTTCCAGAGCCCCTGGACTCCCATGAGGGAGCTGTATCCTCGGTGTCGCGGGCGGCTTTTCACTACAAGTCTTCCCCGCCCGGCTGCACCGCCGCCCTGGGCCCGGGAAGAGTACTCTCGGCTCCCACTCGGAAAGAAGGAAAACCAAGAGCTCGCAGCTGTCCAGGGAAAACCGGCCCCGGCGAAACGGGGACGTCCCAGAAGCTGACACGGCCTCGCGGAAGAAAAATGGGACCAGAGAAAGCTGGCGACGCGGAGGGGCAAGTCCTCTTCTACTCCAGCGCTCTGGCCCAAACGTTTGCACTCTCAGCGAACGACCAGGGTGAGGGGACGGCGCAGGCAAGATTTAACAGCCAGAAAAAGTTCCTCCCAAACTCCAATCTTCTCAAGCTCAGGCGTTCCGCACGGGAAATGGAGCTCCCCGGATGCCATCTAATGCGTCGCGCAGGGCGGAAGTCCCGGCTCCCAAGATGACGTATATCTACTGCGCCGATGCATTCCGGAAGTGAGGGGGTGATTCGGCCTCAGGGTTTACAGGCGTGTTGGCTGCCTTATCTTATCCACGCAGGCTTCCTGTTTCTGTCAAACGTTGAAACCATACGCAAAGCGTTTTCTTTCAGAAGTTACGGGTTTGTACGAGTTTTTCTAGCTTCGGTTTCTTCCCAGTCTGCCGCCAGTTGTGAAAACTCGTAATGCTAAGTATTGTTTTTCGCGTGAGGCAATAACAGAAAGGTGGAAGCTTTAAATTCAGTTCCGTCGCTCAGTCGTGTCCAACTCTGCAACCCGGTGGACTGCAGCACTCAGGCTTCCCTGTCCATCACCACCTCCCGGAGTTTACTCAAACTCATGTCCATTGAGTTGGTGATGCTGTCCAACCCTATCATCCTCTGTCGTCCCCTTCTCCCGCTTTCAATCTTTGCCAGCATCATGGTCTATTCTAGTGAGTCAATTCTTCGCGCCGGGTGGCCAAAGTATTGGAGTTTCACCATCAGTCCTTCCAATGAACACCCAGGACTGATCTCCTTTAGGATGGACTGGTTGGATCTCCTTGCAGTCCAAGGGACTCTCCAGAGTCTTCTCCAACACCACAGTTCAAAGCATCAATTCTTCCGGGCTCAGCTTTCTTTATACTCCAACTCATATCCATACCTGACTACTGGGAAAACCATAGCCTTGACTAGAAGGACCTTTGTTGACAAAGTAATGTCTCTGCTTTTTAATATGGTGTCTAGGTTGGGTGTAACTTTTCTTCCAAGGAGCAAATGTCTTTTACTTTCATGGCTGCAGTCACCATCTGCACTGATTTTGGAGGCCCCCCCCCCCCAAAAAAATAAAGAGTCTCACTGTTTCCACTGTTTCCCCATCTATTTGCCATGAAATGATGGGACCAGATGCCATGATCTTAGTTTTTTGAATGTTGAGTTTTAAGCCAACTTTTTCCACTCTTCTCTTTCCCTTTCATCAAGAGGCTCTTTAGTTCTTCGCTTTCTGCTGGGAGTGTGGTGTCATCTGCATATCTGAGGTTATTGATACTTCTGGCAGTCTTGATTCCAGCTTGTGCTTCATCCAGTCTGATATTTCTCATGATGTACTCTGCATATAAGTTAAATAAGCAGGTTGACAATATACAGCCTTGACATACTCCTTTTCCTATTTGGAACCAGTCTGTTGTTCCATATCCAGTTCTAACTGTTGCTTCCTGACCTACATACAGATTTCTCAGGAGGCAGGTCAGATGGTCTGGTATTCCCATCTCTTTAAGAATCTTCCACAGTTTGTTGTGATCCACACAGTCAAAGGCCTTGGCATAATCAATAAAACAGAAGTAGGTGGAAGCTTTGGTTGATGTTTTTTAATTAATAAGTAGGTCATTATCTGAAAATCTGTAGTAACCAGATAGTAATATGGTTTAAAATCTTAGCCCTTGAAGTACATTTTTCTTCAGGATTTAAGAGTTAGGCTTGTAGGTCAGAAGTAACAAGAAACGCATTACCAGAGTAGCTCCTGTAAAGGTGGTGGATTGGACACTCAGGCTAAGATTCAAACCCCCACTGAACCACTTATGGTGTTTAGCATTGCTCAGATCAGGTTTGTTCAAAACATCTTTCTTCATCTGTAATAGGTGGGCATAGAAGCAGTCTTGCAAACTGTTTCAAGCAAGGATCATAGATAATATTTGTGAAGTACTTAACCACTAGTAGTCAATGAATGGTAGCCTTTTCGTACCTATTGGTTCAGACTTGGACTATTGAAATTAGATTAAAATCAGTGAAAAGAATGATTCAAAAGTAAGTTTTTAGCAAAACTATTTTTTTGCCCAAACAGATGATTCCCAGTAGCCAAGTTTCCTTGACCTGTGTACTCAGTTGCTCAGTCACCTCAGACCCTGTAACCCCATGGACTGTAGCCCACCAGGCTCCTCTGTCGGTGGGATTTCCCAGGCAACAGTACTGGGCTGGGTTGCTATTTCCTGGCTTGGAATTTTCCTGACCCAGGGATCTAATCTGCATTTCCTGTGTCACATAGATTCTTTACCCCTGCGACCTAGTTGCAACTAATTTTCTCTCAGTGCTAATCCTGATAAAGTACTTACTTCCGTTTCCTACAGATGTAAAATTATATGCAGAACTTTTGTTCCTAAATGTATTTTGCAGGAATTAATATAATTACCTATCTGTGTCTCCCTCCGCCCAACAGAGTAGATTGTAAAGTTACTGGAACCAACAGTTGTATTTTAGCAGGAATTCTATAAATATTGTGTAAATGACCACTTTCCCAGCTTCAGATCTAAATCTGCAGGGCATCTTGCACCCTATTGAATTTTCTCACGAGTCTGGCAAATGTTAGTTCAGATCCCATCAGAGCCATATTATAATCCTGAGGTATGGGCTGAATTGTGTCCTCCGAAATTCAAATGTTGAAGCGCTAACCCCCAGTATCTCAGAATGTGACCGATTGGAAACTGGGCCTTCTTAAAGTTAAAATGAGGCCATTAGGGTAAGTTAATCAGTCTGACTGGTGTCCTTAGAAGAGGAAATTTGGACACCCAGACACTAAGGCTCTTTGCACAGAGGAAAAACCAAGTGAGGACAGAGGGAGACGGCAGCGACCTGCAAGCCAAGAAGGTTGAGGAAACCAAACCTTGGATCTTGACTTCTAGCCTCTGGAGCTATGAGAAAATAAACGTCTGCTGTGTAAGCTACCAATCTGTCATTTCGTTTGACACAGCTAGGATCTTGGGCACATTTCTTCAGTGTTGAGAATCTGAATAAAATGGAGATGCCGCTTCTCTTGTGCGGTTTCTCTGAGATCAGTGACTTCACATGAAGCACTTAGTAGGTAACGGCACTCCCGTTAGTTTGTTGAGTGAATGACGGAGGGGGAGAGCACCATGAGTAAAACTGAAATCCAGAATGTGATTGAATCATAGAGCACCTCGCCTGAACCCCTCTGGTGTCTGGGGAAGGCAAGTTGAGGGGTATTATAGCTGCTGCACCAGCTTGTCCTAGTGATGGGGCATTGTAGCAGGAGAAAGAACACTTTCAGGATTTGCTCTAAATGAAGTTACCTGAGAGCTAGGTAAAAACAAGTAGTCAGTGTGAGCATTTGAGTACTGTAAGTGCTTGTAAAACCAGAGCAACATTTCTTGGATACAAAATGTATTTTGGAAGGAACATCAACTGAGGAGTGTTCATTTGATTAATAAGGATTTGGTTCCTTTGGATGCTGTTTAAAGGGCTTCCCAGGCAGCGTTAGTGGTAAATAACCTGCCTGCCAATGCAGGCATGTCAATGCAGAAGACATAAGAGATGCAGGTTCAATCCCCAGATCGGGAAGATCCCCTGGAGGAGGGCACAGCAACCCACTCCAGTATTCTTGCCTGGAGACTCCCATGGACAGAGGAGCCTGGTGGGCTACAGGCCATGGGGTCACAAAGAGTCAGACACGACTGAAGTGACTTAGCAACAACAGCAGCAAAGGGCTCTCTATCAAGATTCTGACAGAATACACATTATATAGGCTAGTAATAAAAATAACAAGCACTTAAATGGCAATTCCTATCTAGAAAGCACTGTTCAAAACTACTTTACACGTATTAACTTATTCTTCAAAACAGTTTGTAAGATAAGTACTGTTATCCCCATTTTATTCAGTGAGGAATTATGCACAAGAAAAACAATCTTAACTTGCCCAAGATGATAACAGCTAGTTAGTAATGAGCCAGTAATGTGAACTTTCATTGGTTTTCTGGAGACCCCTAGGAAAAACTGACCAAGAAATTATGACAGGAATGTTACCAGTCTTCAAAATGCAACACGCAGTCACTTGCTTACAGATTCTGGAAGAGCAGTGCCTGTAAACCTCAGTGTGCTCCTCGTAACTGCCAAACTTGTAAACCAAGTTAACAAGTGACCATGCACATTAAGTGTTGATTGTGGCCAATGGGCAATATGTATAAACTCATCCTCCTTTCCTAGATGTCACTGTGTTCTCTCTTTTACGTTGCATTCATCTCCATTCTTTACCAACCTCTTCTCTGAAATATTTGGCTGAGCTATATGAAATCAACCAGATTTGACCTCCAGAAATTACAGTTTCATTTGGTTCAAGCTAAAGAATTACATTTTCTATTTCCTGTTATAAAGTCTTACAAAAATCTAAAATTACAGACATATGCCTAGAGTCTCACTGATTATAAAAGTCAGAAGATGTTTCTTATGCTACTCAGGCAGAACTGAAAAATTCTGTCATGTACTTCTGTCATATACTTCAAATTATAAGGCCATTCCATCCTTAAAAGTTCAAAACATTCACATGATTAAAAGTAGAAAACAAAACTTTATTGATGAAAACTTCTTAAAAGTTCCAATATGAAGTAACAAAATCAACAACCTACAAATCTCTTTCAGTCCTTTGCCTTTCAAGCAAAATATTCTCTTCAGAAAAATGCCCATTTCGTAATATCCCCTTCTGTAGGCTAGGAGTATCTGAGTGGACACGTGGATATAAAATTCAAAAGAGAAGGAAATGAAAATATTTTCAAAATAAAAATCTGAACCCTTTCCTTGAGGTGTATTGCAATATGGTTACCAACATACTCAGCACCTTGTAATAATCAAGTTACTGACTGGAGTCCTAGAACAGCCCCTGGAATGAAAGAACAAGAGATCCTAGTTGTTCATGAGCCACAGGTTGGCAGCAGAAGAAAAACTGGCAGCAACTGGACAGAGGCTCAGATGCACGGAATCCACACGTTCTGAACGACTACACGCTCACTTCAGATAGCTAACAGTCTATATGGCTTTACAAAAGGAAAGAGCTCAGAGCCTGCAATATGGATAGTTGCCCTCTGAGTGATGGGCAGTCCTAATGCATCCTTAATGCTTTTTTTTAATCAACACATGACTCCATCTTGGGGGACCAGTCAAATATCAGATCTCATCTCAAAGGTTACGTTGGGTGTAGGAACTTCAGATGCCACTTGTTATTTTGTTGTTTTAGTCGCTAAGTCATGTCCAACCCTTTGCGACCCCATGGACTGTAGCCCGCCAGGCCCCTCTGTCCATGGGATTTCCCAGGCAAAAATACTGGAGTGGGTTGCCATTTCCATCTCCAGGGGATCTTCCCAAGCCAGGGATCAAACCCATGACTCTTGCATTGGCAGGTGGGTTCTTTACCACTGGGCCATCAGGGAGACCCACTTGTTCATTTACTCTATCCCTAAACCAAGGTTTATTGCAGACTTATAGAAGTCTTTCAAGACCTAAAGTTCTTGTCAATATGAAACAACAACATACCAAGAAAGTCCAGAACACCTGAGTTGATGCACAAAGTCACCCATCTGCACCAGCAGAAAAGATCAGTGCCTGGAGTCTTTTCTCTTTTGCCTCTTTATTGAGAATCCTGAGAAAGTTAATCAGGAAAAATACGAGGCAGGCAAGATACCACTACACGTAGAAAGGAATTTCTAGACTCACTAAATTATTTGAAATGAGCTTTAACCACGAGAGAAAAACTAGAAGTCAACAGCCCCAATTTTTTTCAAAGGGCAGAGAGTGAGTACCTTAAATTTTGAACTTAGGAATAAAACTGCAACAAATATCTGGGGGTCAAGCCATGAGAAATCCCTTCATGCTTAAGTATTTCAAATCATGATGCTATTCAATGAAATTGTGTCTGATTTCTTTATATGTAATTTTATTGGACTTTGCAAAACAGTCCAGAATGTTCATATACTCTTAATTTTAAAAGGACAAAAAAAAAAATCTGTGCTTATCTGTTTATATGCCTGAAATCACCCATCCTATTCATATACAAACTTATTTACTGGAGGAACTACAGGTTATGCTTTGCCCCACAAGATCTGTTCCTATTTAACGTAGACTTAAAATCTCGCACTGCCTCAACGCAGTCCTGCCCCGACCAGCTGTGTGTGTGACACCCATCGTGGGGACGCGCGTGGTCAGTCATTCCCCTCGTAATCACTGTAACCACGGTAGCCACTGTTCCTTCTCTCGTGGATACTGGACATCTTTTTCCACGTCGAGTCCTGATGGAAACCAGTACTGAAAGACCGGCCCAGGCGCCCGTGCTGCTTCTTGGAGATATTGTCCTCGCTCTCAGATTTGGCAATTCCCTGGGCATGTGTTGGAGGCTGTGATTCCTGTCTAATAGTTCCAAACGGAAAGTTCCAAAGGCCAAATCTTTGCCAGCTAAGTCTCTGGAATGCTATGATGCAATGCAAATTTCCTCCAACCTGAAAGAAAAAAAAAAATGTTGGCTTCAGAAAACACTAGGAAACCGGTTATACTATAATATGTGGGTTCCAACAAATTGTGTTATTTTCCCTCTTTCGTGCATGTGTGCTGTTGTGCTGACTCTTCGCAACCCCATGGACTGTAGCAAACCAGGCTCCTCTGTCCATAGGATTTTTTCCTGCAGTTACCTGCATCTAAATAGTATTTATCCTTTCCAACATCATCAGATCACACTACCCAGCATCTTTCCTGACCAGCTGCCTTTACAAAAATATAACAATGTCCACAGGACCCAAGACCCCTTCCCCACCCCCATACGCCTCTCTACCTCTCACACACGCTTGGCCCTCCCACATTGCCTAATCCACACACCAAGCTCATTCCTCTTCCTCTCCCCGCTATGTGTTCTTTACATGTTAGTGAGATTATAGCAATGGGCTGCCTCCTCAACATACCAACAGAACATACCATTCCCTGAGAACGGCCCCCAGCAGCCTTGTCTGTAAACACGACTCTGCCCCAAGGCCACAGTTAATGCCCGGGTAGTCAGCACCTGACTCAAGCTGGGCCACCGACTACAGAACTGGGCTGGAGGCAGGCCCGTCTCAGTCTAGACTGTTCTTCTGAAAGGGAGACCTAAGTTGAAAGGCGATGATCTTCAGGAAGCAAACAGAAAGACAGCTGAGAACGAGACAGAGTAGCTGCCTGCCCCTGGTAACATTTCTGCCTGGCACCCGGCTGGACGTCTTGCCTTTTTTTTCATTTCTATTTTAAATTAGAAGATAATTACTTTACAATACTGTGGTGGTTTCTGCCATACCTCAACATGAGTAGCCCACAGGTATACATAGGTCCCCTCCCTTTTGAACGTCCCTCCCGCCTCCCACCCAGGTACCACCCCTCTAGGTTGCCACAGAACACCGGCTTTAGGTTCCCTGCAGCATACAGCAAATTCCCACTAGCTGTCTATTTTACATATGGTAATGCATGTGTTTCAGTGCTGTTCTCTCAAATCATCCCACTCTCTCCTTCCTCCACTGTGTCCAAAAGTCTTTTCTTTATGTCTGTCTCCTTTGCCGCCTTGCATGTAGAATCATCAGTACTATCTTTCTATATTCCATATATATGTGTTAGTATACCATATTTGTCTTTCTCTTTCTGACATAATTTATTCTGTATAAAAGGCTCTAGGTTTATCTACTTCATTAGAACTGATTCAAATACGTTTCTTTTTATAGCTGAGTAATATTCCATTGTGTATATGCACCATAACTTCTTTATCCATTCATCTGTTAGTGGACATCTAGGTTGCTTCCATGTCCTAGCTATTGTAAATTTCCTTTTAAAGACACGTGTCCTCAATTTTCACTTTTCAGTCTAAAACGGTATGCACTGGGTTTCTGTTATTTACAACCTAGAGTGCTGAGTAAAATAACTGCATTTTGGCCAGTTGAGAAATACTTTCTCACACACTGGTACTCTTACCTTCTTTGTCTTTCGGTACTGCAGTCCCCTCTCTAAGTGCCGGATATCTAGATATTCTGGATTTTGAGTGTTTAGATCAGTAACAATATCTGCCCATCTATTGTTAAGGAAGAATAAAGCACAATTTTCTTTAAGTTCAAAATACTTTAAAAAAGTAATGGAACTTTTCACATGAGCAATTTGCTACAACAGTAACATGGCATTACTTCTCCCATCAGAGGATTATTTCATCTATTAGGTTTCCATAAATCCTCTTTTTAATGACAGTTCTCTTTATCCAACTAATGCCAAGGTTAAAAATGATTACTCTCCATATGAACTAAAAATATATATCAACCTGTTAAGTGACATCCTGCAGGCTAGTGTGGAAACATTCCATATTTTCTTTTTAATTGGAGTCAAGTATATTTTCAAAAGTTTTATAAGTTAGTATGCCTTTATTTACAAACAACATGATTGATGGTGTAGAAAATCCAAAACAATTACAAATTGCTTTGTATTTCAAATCTGTTACTAGAACTAACAACTGAATTTGATAAAGGTGTAAGATTTAAGGCCTATATAGAAAAATCCATTGTATTTTTGTATACTACCAGAAAATAATTGAGATAAGATATTTTAAAAATCAGCTTACAGGAACAATATTCAATATTGTAATAACCTAAAATGGGAAATAATTTGGAAATATATATATATAACTGAATCACTTTACTGTATACCTAAAACTCACAAAACATTGTAACTCAACTATTACTTCAACTAAATCAATTTACAACAGCATCAAAAAATATACACACTTAGGAAAAATTTTTAACAAAATATATATAAAATTCTATGCTGAGAAATACCATTGCCAAGAGAAATTAAAGCTCTAATTAAGTGGAGATAAAGTCTGTGTTTATAAAGAGAAGACTCCACATTATTCAGATGTAATGCTCCCCAAACTAAACTATGGATTCTATGGATTCTAATCTAATTAAAATTCCAACAGGCTTTTTAGCAGAAATTGAGAAAAAGTGGAGAGGGAGGGGTTAACATACTTTTTACAGTGAATAGCAGGATGTTTTCTACTTGATTCTCCAATTAAGATCCAATATTCTACTTCCTGTGGTGTGAGGGGACCCCTGCTAGATATAAAATATATTCACAGTAAGCTTCATAAAGTCATTCACTCCCTTGAAAATATTACTTTAATTATATACTGATAAAACATACACTGAGGTTTATGCAGAAATAGCATTCAGTAGCACTAGAATAGAACTGGAGTTAAGGTTTGACCAAAACTCCAAAGGCCATTGAAGAGGAAGCATAAATTAGGGTAGGGTTTGATCCCTTTTTACAAAATGCTTTTGTTTACTTGCTAAGTCGTGTCTGACTCTTTTGAGACCCCATGGACTGTAGCCCACCAGATTCCTCTGTCCATGGGATTCTCCAGGCAAGAATACTGGAGTGGGTTGCCACTTCCTTCTCCAGGGGATCTTCCCAACCCAGGGAGGGAACCCACCTCTCCTGCGTTTCAGGCAGATTCTTTACCACTGAGCCACCAGGGAATCCTGAGAAAAGCCTAATAAACCGAACAAAATTCTGCAAAAGATTAAGCTACAGTGTTTAAAAGGATAGTCTTACTTGGTGCAAGGAAAGAAAATCATCAAGTCTTCCAATGTCTAATGAACCAAATATTTCATAAATGCTTTCAACAATATGTTTCCTGGTAAAGTATGCACATAAAATATAAAAATACTTACCTATATGCTTTATTTGCCTTAACAGGGGTTGCTTCAAAGCCAATTGGACAAAAATAATGATTTTGGCAATGATAGATATAAGCTAATGATTCATCTTTCAATCCATGAGTTAACTTCGACAAGGCCCCAGAAGCTACAAAAAAGCAAAAACAAACCAACTGAGGGACCATAATGCACTGTTTATGCTTTATACAAACAACTAGTTAAGGACTCAAAGGCAGAAGAGACATTACTTGGTACAAATTGACATTGCTGTGGAAAAAATGAATAACTATTGATAGATTTTAATTAATGGATTTCAATTTTACCCTTTAGACTGAAATTCAGATAAACTGAATAGCAAACTAAATAACTGAAATATGTCCTTGATTACCAAAACCTTCAAATAACACACATGCTTGTCTACAAAAGTTAATACTTGGTATATATAGCAAGGGTCTCAACTTCTCTGGTTGTACATATCTGTCACTAGAAATTTCTAAGTAAGAATGTCCATGATAAGCATGTTTGTTTATAAACTTTGTATATTGACTACTAATATAAAAGATACACAAAAATAGGAATTTTTAATTAGATTAAAATGTGGACATTCTAATACATTCTTCTCAGACCACAGTGATCACTCTGCATAGCTGTCATATGCAAACATCCCAATTTGGAAACCACTGAAGTATATGGACAAATACAAACTCCAAACAAGTTCCAAAGATGAAAACTTTCTCCCATTAACACACATTACAATGCTTTCTACAAAAATCACCCAAATTAGAGGAACAGCTTTCACAAGCCAAGTGGTGAGAACATCTTTATAGAGACTGGCTGGTGAACCACCGCATCCTCTTATAACTGCTTCTCCTTGTATCTTTCCAATGGCTGCATGAATTAGTTACAAAGTAATTTCAAAAGTATTACATAAGAAACCAGTCTTTACCACCACTCAATACTTAAAGCTATTAACTGAAGTTTCATTAACTTGCATCGCCTAGAAGAAGCTAAATTATTCATGAACAAATAGCCCATTAAGATGGGAAATCCTAAAAATGGTTGTAGTAGAAGAAAACTTGCAAGTTATGGCTTTTCTGATAGACTTTCTGGCCACTGAAATAGCTGAAGGCCAAGAACAGCTGGTCAATGGCTGTAACAGTGCCAAGAAGGTGGGTGCTCACTCCCAACCCCAACAGATACACACAACTTGTGAGCTCCATGGAGACCATAACATTTCTCTCTTAAACTCTTTCTCCAAGGTTTTTTCAGCTAGGAGATTTTTACTCATAGATTCACTATAGATTTTTACTCCATTATGTGCATTCCTGCATGCAAGGTAATCTTTTCTACTACAATCTCTATTTCATAATGATAAATAAGTCTTTCTGATGTTTTGGGTTGAGTTCCCCAGACAAACTAAAAACTGACACCCAAGGACAGTTCTAAATGAAGAATTCTAAGAACTAAAATCCAGAAGATGCTCAGTATTTCATTTCCATAGCTGAACTTGATCGTAGATATATTCCAGAATAGTAAGCAAATGTAAATAGGTTTGAACTCTTCATAAATCCAGTAAATACTAAAGATTCTTAACACACATAACTGGCTTAGGAAGAACTCTTGAAATCTGTCAGATTGTGAAAATGCCAAATAGAAAGTTACCCCAGATAACTAAAACTTCCTGTGAAAGAACTTTATTGTAGCTTTTTAATGGAAATCTTTATTTCACACTTCCCTCCTTAAGTCAAATATAATCCAAAACAGTTGATTTCCTTATTGTGATTATGAATAGGAGTCACATTAATGTCTGGAATATATTCAGGGGCAAATGAGATAGGAATGAAAGCTTGCCCTCGTTAATATTCATACTATTTCATCTGCTACAAATACTCTTCGACTATGTCCTCGTTTTCCAGAGGACACAAGGTGGGTTTTCTTCTATGGAGTAATGATCATGCTACGTGGGTATGTATTTTGTTATTATTTCAAAGTACATGGCAACGTTCTGATGGACTTAGATTGTTGTTGTTCAGTCACTAAGTCTTGTCTGACTCTTTGTGACCCCGTGGACTATAGCCTCCCCAGGCTCCTCCGTCCATGGGATTCTCCAGGCAAGAATACTGGAGTGGGTTGCCATTTCCTTCTCCAGGGCATCTTCCTGACTCAGGGATCAAACCTGGGTCTCCTGCATTGCAGGCAGATTGTTTACCAGCTGAGCCACCGGGGAAGCCCTGGATCAGGGCACCACACTTGCTGCTACTCAGCTCTGTCGCTGAAGCTGAAAGCAGCCACAGACAGAAACAGCCATGGGCTGTGTGGAAGCAAATGGATATGTCTATGTGCCAGTAAAACTCTATTTATAAAATGGGCTGCATGCTCATGGGCTGTTGTTTGCTAACCTCTAATTCAGATCAGTAATATTCAGATTTATTTTGACATGGAACTCCTTCTGCAAGGAATGTTTACATGCAAGGCCAGTTCATAAAAAGGATCAAAGCTGTTACTGCAGCCCAAAAGGAGGTAGGGAATCTATGGGCTCACCCCTGTCCCCTCACCAGCCCTGAGGCACCGCCATAGAATTCCCAGAACTCAGCTGAGCACAGAATGAAAAATCACTGAGTGTCCTGTCAATGGAAGACCATACTCCTGAGAAAGAAGCAGGATAGCACCTCTTTAGAAAGGCAACAGCCCATGTGCATGCTGAGACACTTCATTTGTGTCTGACTCTTTGTGACCCCATTGACTGTAGCCCGCCAGGCTCCTCTGTCCATGGGATTCTCCAGGCAAGATACTGGAGTGGGTTGCCATGCCCTCCTCCAGGGGATCTTCCTGACCCAGGGATCAAACCCATGTCTCTTACATCTCCTGCATTGCCAGGCTTTACCACTAGTGCCACCTGGGAAGTCCAGAAAGGCCACAGCAGTAGTTCTCAAACCTGAGCAGGAAGGGCTTGTTAAATAACAGATTTCTGATACCTACCCCCTCAGTTGACTGACCCAGTAGATCTGGAGTGGGGACCAATAATTTGCAAGTCTAACATGTTACCAGGTGATGCTGATATTCATCCAGGCGTCACATCTCGAGAGCCACTGGTCTAAGGTTAACAGGAAATTTTTATTGCACTCAATCCAGGAAGCAAATTAATGAACAGCTACCAACTACTGGGTTAGCCAAAAAGTTCGTTCAGGCCTTTCTGTAAGCTGTATCATGACAATTCTGTAACAGGAAAACCTGAATTGTTTGGCCAACCCAATATATCAGGAACCATAAGGAAACAAAAGACAAGGAATGCACAGTACCTCAAGCTGCCCTCGTAGAGAAGATAAAAGAGGTGACTTGGATATAGGGTGGAAAAAATGCCATGAAAAAAGGGGGTGTAATTGAAAGGAGAAAGAGCACCTCCGGTTTAAGGAATCAAGAAGGGGGTGGCATTCAGGACAGAACAAAATCAAGTGGCAAGATTCTGACAACCCAGACAGAGGAAGGGGCGTGTGGAGAAAACCACACTACTGCACCGGAGGGGGATAGGGAAGAGCACATCGTCTGGTCCAGAAGGGAGGGCACCCCCAGAAATGCAGGGTGAGGTCAGAAAAAGGTCACCTTCTGAAACAAAAGACAGTAAACACAGCACATAGTACATTAAGGCAGTCATCCAAGACAGTGATGCTACCCAGAGATGGAAACTAAATTCAGACTGATGTGGAGTCTAAACCAGAGGATATCAAGAGTCTGAAACCTCAGCGAGAAAGCAGCCACTGCCAGATGCAGAGCCATGATGCGGACGGTGTAGAGAAAGCAGAGCAAAACTACCAGAATGTGCTGGCCCACTGGTCCCCGAGGGGCGGTGTGTGTCCTGAGCAGCCACTGAGAGAACGCTGGTGCCCTGGGTGCTATATTTCTCACTCTCAGTTAATATATTAGCATTCTGATATTCTGTGAGCCTGCTGAGTAAGAGTCTATTCTGTAAGAACAGAACTCCAGAGAACTCTAAGAGAACTTATCAAAATGTATTTTTATACCTTCAAAGACAAGAACCAGATTCTGTAATCTAGCAACACAGTATCATCCTGCAAGGTTCTTAGCCCCTTGAATCTTCTAAATTCAACTGGTACATGCAGGACAGTATCGAAAGACCAGTCTGTTCTCGCCTGGGATGGTGCTAAGGACCTGATGCTTTCAGCAAGCTACAGAGTCCCCAGAGCAGGAAAGGATGTATTAGTGCCACACACAGAAAAGACTGATCCGATCTTGTGTCAAATATGAACTGGAGAAAACCAGGAGATGAGGAAAACAGAATATAAACGCACAGTCCACTCAAGATGCACTAGGCAGCAAGGGCCAGGGTGAGCGTATACACGAGTTACTTTGGGATAGGGCAAAGGTACCTACTAGAAGAATAAAAACGAAATACATGAACGTTAGTGTAATTTTCAAGCTAGCTATAAAAAACAAATGAATCTAGATGTTCCTGGCACAAAAGCTGGTAACTAAGGGAACCAACAGTTTGACATTTTACTCTAATAAGTAATAGTAATAGGAAGTGAATAATAATAAGTGAACCAATAGTTTGACATTAACGTTGACAACTTCTGGCACAAACTTTTTGAGTCATTATTAAATACAGCTCTTAAAAAATGCTTCAACTCAAAGACAACAACAACAACAACAATGCTTCAACTCATATTCACAGTCAAATCTGTTCACTTTTGTTAAAATCCCTGGATTTTGCTTTTATTCCATGAGTGAGGGCTTCCCAGGTGGTTCAGTAGGAAAGAATCCGCCTTCCAATTCAAGAGATGTAGGTTCAATCCCCGGGTCTGGAAGCTCCCCTGGAGAAGGAAATGGCAACCCACTCCAGTATTCTTGCCCGAGAAATCCCACGGACAGTGAAACTTGGCGGGCCACAGTCCATGAAGTTGCACAGTTGGACATGACCGAGTGTGCACAAGCTCAGTTCACATTTCCTAAAGGCCCACAAGAAATGAACATGTCAACCAGAAAAGAGGGAGTTCCAAAATCTAAGAAGTGTAGTCACCAGGAAAATGTAAAGCCTGTTGAAGAAAACAGGCCTGAGAGTCCTTAAAAATAATCTAGGCATGGGACCTCCCTGGTGGTCCAGTGGTTAGGACTCCGAGCTGGCACTGCAGGCAGTGTGGGCTCAATCTCTGGCTGGGGAACTGGGATCCCACATGCTATGCCACAGGGCACCCCACAAAAAAAACTAAACAAATAAAAGATACATTTCAAAGTATTTTTTTTAAATGCACACTAACAAATGGCCATGGTCTTCACTACTGAATATTCCAGAGACAAATGAGAAAAGCTTATCTCTGCAACTCGGTCTTCTACAATGAGATGGAACAGGAACAACTTCTGCTCGACACAGGTTAACACTCTCCACTGGGAATACAATCAGAAGTCCCAAGGGTCACATGGGTAAAGTCAGAGAGCACACAACTAAAGCGACTTAGCAGCAGCAACAGCATCATACTTAGAATCAAAGGGCTACTGAGGGAAGTGCCTATGACCGAGGCACTGGGCAGACACATTGAAAAAGACGCAACTTCATATAAGGCTGCACATCCCAAATGCCAAACAACAGACAAAAATGACCAGTATTACAGAAATTAAGAGGAATCTTGAGTGTCAGACATAAGGCAGGGCTTGCTAAGGACCACTGAGGCTGGAAGAGGAAGATCAAGGGGGATGTGGATCAGTTATCCTTCAGAAAAACACACATAGAAAAAGAGACAGTGAGGGGTCAAGTCTTGTAATAGGGAAACTGAAAACAAGAACAAAACTGGTAAAATACAGTATTGAAATTCATTTGAAGAAATTATAGCAACAATTCCTCTCCTTGTATCAAAAAAAAAAAAGAGGAGGGATGGAGAGAAGAGCCTCTTCCTCAAAGGAAAAACGATGATGTGTGCTGCAAAGTCTATCCTCTCTTAGTTTTTCATTGCCTGATCAATTACTGAGAGAGGCTGTGTTGACAGCCACCATGGAAAGAGAAAAAATTATTAACACAACATTTCAGGCTCCCCTTTTCACAGAGAAAAGAAAGGAAAGTGAAGTTGCTCAGTCGTGTCTGACTCTTTGCGACCCCATGGACTGTAGCCTACCAGGCTCTTCCATCTGTGGAATTTTCCAGGCAAGAATACTGGAGTAGGTTGCCATGTCCTTCTCCAGGGGATCTTCCTGACCCAGGGATCAAACCCGGGTCTCCTGCATTGCAGGCAGATGCTTTACTGTCTGCGCCGCCAGGGAAGCTCCATGGAGAAAAGCCCCCTGCAACTGCACAGAGTTCAGTCAGTAAGAATAAAATTAACATTTATTGAGTCCTTACTCTGTCAAGCAAGGGACTAAGTATATTACAAATACATCTCCTTTTACCTTCACAGTGACCCTGTGGGGTGGAAATACGGAGACAAGGTCTACACTGGCTCAGCGAATGAGAGTTTAAGCGCCTCGCTCAGATCACAGAACCAGTATGTGCAGAAACCAATATGCAGACTCCAAGTCTGCCTGACTCACAAGCAGCTTGATACGCCTGCGAAAAGGCAACAGAAATAGACCCTGTTTATTTACCGTTACTCTGCGTTCAGTCCTTGATCTTGGTAAACCAGGAACTCTCTCTGCGGACAAAGACTCTGCTTGAGCACACGTCAGTTTGATTTCGGACGCACGCAGCAGGAAGCGGCAGCAAGTGCTCGCTGAAGACAGGGGCTTAGTTTCTCAGGCCCAGACTCCTAACCACTGGGCCACAGGAGCCAGCAGTTAGGGCTAAGGTTCCTAGGCTTGCCTGCCTAGTCAGGAACAAATTCAGGCGAGCAGGCAGAAGATAAAGAGTAAAGTAAAAAGTTTATTGAAAGGAAAAGTACATGGGGAAAGGCACATGGGCAAACTCAGAGAGAGAGTGGTGCCTTTAGGAAGTTAAAATCCTTTATAAAGGGGCGGTTTTCCAGATCTATGTCTTCCCTCAGGCCAGTCACCTTGCTTTGTCCCCCTCCCCACCCCCACCATGCGCCCCAGGTAATATGTCTCAGGACCCTCCCCTGGGATGTGCACACACACCCTAGGCAAGATGGAACTCAAAGTGAAGGCTTCTGGGAGGAGCACGACTCATTATGGCCTGGAATTATCTTCTGACTTTTGACTCCAAGGAGCCTTTCTGCGCATGGGTAGTAGCTCCCTTATCAGACAGGGTTTGTTCCTTTGTTTGTCCTTGCTTTGATTATTCCCTTGAGGTAAGAGACAAAGACTGGCTATATATCCTGTTTCTTGTTGGGTGTAAATTCCTCAATGGGAGCCCAGCTGTCCCTGATGTCAAGAAATGCAGAGGAAGCTGACTGACTATAAATTCCCCAGCCTGGAGCCCACCTATATCCTACCTCAAGTAAGGCATTGCTGAGCCTTCCTCTTAGCTGGGCTTGGACCTTGGGCTTCTGTGTCCATCCTGGCTGAATCCAGTTTTAGCAAAAATTCTGCCAAAGTCAGTTGAGAGAGAATCCCCAACCTGGATACCAGATCAAGGTTCTTATCCTTTACTCTTAAAGCCGAACCCTTGGACTGCCTGAGATAAGACCCGTTAGACCGGTTCAGCAAGGACCCTTGATGTCTCTTCTTAATAACCTTCCATCCACGGAACCCTCGCTTTGAGAGTTGGTTTGTTGTTCCAGGTTGAGCCCGATAGCTCTCCCATGACCCAGTTCCCCATTACAACAGTCTTCAGTAGTCTTCCTTACCCTTTTGACAAGTGTCAGAAGAACGTTTTCTTTAACACTGTGTGGTAGGTTTCTGATCGTAAAGTCAAAAGGTCATTATGAAATTTTAAAAATGGAAATGTTCAAATAATGCAAATTATTTAACTAGCACATAACTAACACAATCCTGAGGATCGGCTGCATTATTCTCTGTAACAACCAAGACCCTTTTATAACAGAACTGTGTCACTTTCACAGTCCGTTGTCCTGTTGTTACACATTATTACGCCTGTCTAACATCAAGTATTCTAAAATCCTTGCATTCCCTTTCAGGAAGAGGAACTGCAAATTCCATGCTGCTTCCGGAAAGGATTTTAGTAGCAGCAAGCTCTCTCTCTCTCTCACACACACACACACACACACACACACACACACCCCACGGGCCAAAAAACACACCGTGCTAAAGCAGTGTTTATGACATGCCATAAAGTTTTAAAAGTTCTACATTCAAAGAGAAAAAGAACTAAAAGATATTAAACTGTATATTGAAGAGTACTCTATATATTACCATCAATATTATCCATTACGATTTCCTCTTAGATAGAGTGATAGACTGTATTTAGAGTTTACAGCATATCCCATGAATCAAAACCAATCTTTGAGATGAATCCTAAAGCATATACCTGTGTGTGTGTGTGTGTGTGTGTGTGTGTGTGTGTGTAAATCTTCTATGTATTTACTTACCAGTTTCTCCAGCTGTTTTATTCTTCCCATGAGGCTTATATAGAACATATGAGCATCCTTTTACATGGAAGTGGTCATTTATTTGTCTAAACCACCTGAAAAATAACAAGAAGACTCACTCATAGCAACAATTCCATAACAAAGAAAGTGCTATTCCAATTTCAGTAAAATTCAGGCAGAGCCCAAGTCTGGCACATCTATCAGAAGTTGGGTTTGAACAGTTAGATACATGGTTTTCTATCAATGCACACCTACAAAATTAACATTTTGAAGAACTAGAAATAAGGTCTTCCTCTAAGCACGGGCCTCATACCTCATAAGTGTCGTGTTTCCAGTGAAGGGGCCAAACCTAATATCTTCAAATGGAGGCTGAAAGCCCAAAATGTGTAAAGCTTCTTCTTGGGTGATGGATGGAAGACTACAAAAGAAATATGGCCTTTCATTTGACAATTTCCATCATATGCAAATGCAACCTGTCCCAGTGTTACTATGTCTGTCTCATTTACAAACAGTTTTACTAACATTTAAAATTTTTATCTTATCAAAAACAATGCATGCATATATTTTTAGCTAAAAGGTTTCAAACAAAATATGGCAGTTTTCCCCCAATTTCTAAAAAATCTGTTCTTAAAAATCTTCCATTATAGGGACTTCCCTGGCAGTCCAGTGGTTAAGAATCCACCTGCAATGCAGGGGATATGGGTTTGATTCCTGGTCGGGAACTAAGATCCCACATTCTGCAGGACAACTAAGTGTGTGCGTCTCAACTAGGACATGATGCAAACAATAAATAAATACATTTTTTTTAAAGAATATTTTTAAAAATCTTTCATTATTTCATATTTCAAAATCTTCCATTATAGCAAAAGCAAGACCAAATAACTTCTCAATTTGGAGTTTAGAGATAGTAATCAATTATCATACTTACTTTCCAGCTCCCATTGTGCTATATAAGAAATTCCAACAAGAAACTAGTGAGGAGATGCCACAAGAAGTCTTATATTGTGGTCGGCTTATGCAGTACCTGAAAAAATAAGACTGCTTTCTTCACTTGAATAAACACAAAATACACACATAGAAACAGAACACTCATGGCAACTCAGCATGTTAGCATAATGAAAACTTTGATCATTTAAACCAATGTTAAATATTTATTCATTTAAAGTATTTTCATATTTTTTAAACACATTATAAATGCATAACTGGCTCAAGTGGTAAAGAACACTCCTACCAATGCAGGAGCTCAGAAGATGCAGGTTCAATCTCTGGGTCAGGAAGATCTCCTGGAAGAGGAAATGGTAACCTACTGCAGTATTCTTACCTGGAAAATCCCGTGAACAGAGAGGCCTGGAGGGCTTTAGCCCACAGGATTGCAAAGAGTTGGACACAACTGAGCATGTATGCATTATAAATGCATAACAATAGATCACGCTTTTTAAGAATGATGGCTAAGTACAACTAAAGTGAATATCACCCAGACAAATGGAAAAAAAATTACAGATATATAAATTTAGATGTCAATTCCTAAAATTTCAAAGAAAACTCCTAATTGTGCTACATGTATGACTATTTGCAACTTCAGCCGTAGGAATTCTTTATATTGTCTGGATATTAATCCCCTATCAGATACATGATCTGCAAATGTTTTCCCCCACCTTGTAGGCTGCCCTTTCACTTTACTGATTGTTTCCTTTGGTGCACAGAAATGTTTAAGTTTGATGTAGTCCCGTTTGTCTATTTTTGCCTTTGTTACTTGTGCTTTTGGTGTCATAACCCAGAAAGTGAAAGTGAAAGTCACTTAGTCGTGTCCGACTCTTTGCGACTTCATGGATTATACAGTCCATGGAATTCTCCAGGCCAGAATACTGGAGTGGGTAGCCTTTCCCTTCTCCAGGGGATCTTCCCAACCCAGGGATCAAACCCAGATCTCCTGCATTGCGGGCAGATTCTTTACCAACTGAGCTATCAGGGAAGCCCTGAAATCATGGCCAAATCCAATGTCATGAAGCTTTTCCCCTATGTTTTCTTCTAGAATCTTATAGCTTTAGGTCTTACATCTAGGTCTTTAACCAATTTTGAGTTAATTTTTGGGTATGACATGAAGTAAGTGTCCAGTTTCATTCTTTTGCATGTGGATATCACAGCACCATTTTCCAAAGACACTATCATTTCCCCATCTTGTGGTCTCAGCACCCTTGCAGATTATTTGCCTATTTGCGTGAATGTTTATTTCTAAGCTCAATTCTGTTCCATTGGTCTATGTCTGTCTTTATGCTGGCACCACACCATGTTGGTTATTGCAGCTCTGTAACATGTTTTGAAATCAGGAGGTGTGTGGCCTGTGCTGCCCTCCTGTAAGCACCACCTTTCCTGTAAATCCCTAGAGGCAGAGTCCTCAGCTGGCATACAGGGGGCACGATAATCAAGTAGCAATCAGCACAGTGTTTTCTGCAACCCTCCCTACATTTCTGTAGTGCTGACCGGGACCTCCTCAAAGAAACTCAGATTCTTCCCCTCTCACTCCACGGCTCATACCCCGAGATTTAACCAGTCATCAAACGGTTCGGGGATGTCACCTGAAATGTAGAGCAACCTGCATTGTTCAAGGCCAGCAGTAGTCTGTGAGGTCTCAGTATCTCCTCTGTTAATACAGAACGTATGGGATCTGATGAGTACGTATTAGAGCTGATGGTTTGGGGACGTTGCTATTTCTTTGTTTCAGGGAAGACAGAGGATTTCCTGCTTTTCATTTTGTTGTTATTGTTTTCATGGGTTTGAGGGAACGAGTGGAGTAAAAAGACCTTACTCTGTCACGGTTCAATCTCCCTCCTCCATCTTACACACGTCTTCACAAATCCCTGGGATCAAGTTTAGGCACTGTTAAGATTTTTCATACTTCCTCCTCAGTCCAAACTTGTTTACTGGTCTTGTTCATGACCAGCTTAAAATTTTACTGACATTCTACTATCTCCTGTGGGTCTTTCCATTCCATCTCTAATCTTATAACATTCTCCAGGAAATACGGTTGTCATCCAGGTAATTTTTCCCCTTAGGTTATTTCTCACATCTATCTTTCCTCATCCAAGTCTTTATGGCCTTATGTTACACTATTAAGAATAATTACTCATATATGTGGTTATATAAGTCAAAGGGATCCAGAACAAAATGCATAAAACCTCGCTCCAAAGAAACTAAAATTAATGTTTTTTATCTGTGTCACTTCTGCAATACAGTCTACCAGTTTATCTTTGTAAGATATGCTTTTGTTAAGAAAGCATCAGTGGATTATCTCTACCCCAGAAAAAAGTTCTAAATGCTTAGCCTGACATCCAAGAAATAGACTGTGGAAGCTGTTAGAAAGAAAGAACAAGGACTCTGGAGTCCAATTCTCTTCAGTTTCAAGGCAAGATCTACATATTTGCTATGTGATGTTGGGTAAGTTTCTTAGCTGCTCTGAACCTCACTCCAGATAGACCAGTCTACTCTTCATTACCAACCTGCCAGACACTTTCCTACCATCCATTCAAAGACCTTTAGACTCTCTACTTCCTCATTTTCCTTTCTTAAGCCTCAGCTCCTCTGTGAAGCGCTTCAGTGATCATTACCTCCTCTCGTGTCGCTTGTTTATACCCACCCATCATCTGGCCAAGTTCCTGAGATATTTGACACTTTTCTCTCTTCTCAACTAGATTGTTTTCTGCCTCTCTGCACTCAGCCCACAGCAAAGCATCCAATATTTATAAAATAAGAGAAAGAAATCGAATATTTCTAAAACATCACACAAAAGAATTTTTAAAACCTCCAGTCACAGATTAGTAGTACTTAAAAGCTATCATGACTTAAACATCCTTTTCTTTAGAATAGTGACTCTATGTTAAGGCTATCAAACAGCCCCAGCTGCTAAGTGGAAGATCTTCTCATTAAAGGAATGCCAGTTAGTAAAAGCAGAAGAAAGGATAGAATTTTGAAAAATCTCCATTTTACAACAGGATTCAGGCAGGGGTCATCAGTGGGTTTGGTGACCACTAGGTAAAAAAGTTGATGGTTATCTAGATGTTAGCTCAATGCCACTGTCAACAGTGTGATGACTTGATGGCTACAGAGGGAAGAAAGGAATCTGACAGTGTGGCTAAGGCTGTGGCCCCCTTAATCCAGTGATCACTCTTAGAGCCTCTAATCCCGAATGAGCAGACTCCACATACTTTCTGATGGGATACAGTATGAAGGACGCAAGGTCACCAAGACAGCATTCTTGCCCCCAAATATTCAACCAGAATCTAATCACATCTTTACATCTAACTTCCAGTTTACAAGGACCGCTATGTGTGTGCTGGGCAGCCCAGTCGTGTCCGACTCTTTGGGACCCCATGAACTGCAGCCCTCCAGGCTCCTCTGTCCCTGGTATTTTCCAGGGAAGAATCCTGGAGTGGGTTACCATTTCTATCTCCAGGGGATCTTCCTGATGCAGGGATCGAACTCACATCTCCTGCATTGGCACGTGAGTTCTTTACCACTTTACCAGGGAAGCCCAAAAATGAGATACTAAGCAAATATTTGTTAACTTCATTAAGTATGACAGTGGTACTGTAGTTAGGTAAAAAAGGTCAATTTTTAGCGATTACCATCGTCTGAGATCTAATACTTTCCGCTGCTTAATATCTTCAAGAGGAGAATACTGAGGCCACTCCCTTTGATGTCTTCCTTTCTTATCTGAAGTTTTTTTCTTGGAAACTTGCTTCTTTCCATTGCCTGGAACACAAGAGTATAAAAATGAGGTATGATGAAGCAAGCTCCCAAAACAATACAATTAATCATGTAACAAAATATCAAAGTAGTTAGGTCTAACAATGCTATTCGCAAACATATTGAAAACCCACATGTATCTTCAAGAATACCCTACTACTTTAAAGAAAGGGATAGAGAATAAAAACACATTTAAACAACCATGAATGTTACTTCCTATCAGGTTCTTATATTTTAATTCCTGAGCTAGTCACTTAGCTAGCAAAAGAATCAATCACAAAATGCTTAGCCACATCTAGAAAATCAAATTAGCAATGGTAAAATATTTAACGAGACCAATTTCCAGAAAATGAATCCTTTCTATAAAACAATAAAACCACATTAACGTTACTCTGTTGAGAAAGTAAAAGCAGCAGATCCAATAATCTGATGATGTGATGTTTAAAAATAGCTCCAGGCCTACAGAGACTACAAAATGAATTAAGAATGATGCATACAAGTACATTATTAAAATGCAACTTTAGCACCAGGAGCCAGAATGGAAAACAAAGTCTCCTTTCTGTGTGCTAGTAGGTATATATGTGTGCACAGACAGACAGGCAGACACCACACATTCTCCAAAAGACACAAAAGACAACACAGTGGTTATCTATGGGGAGAGGGAAAACTGGGAACCTCACCAAAGGAAGACAAAAGTAAATTTTTATACTCTTTGATTTTTATACTTTTTTGTTTCCTTTCAGTGGATCACCCAGTCAAAAAATTATATAAATTAAAATATTATTAATGAACATCCAAGCCTCATTTCACTAAAACACCATGAACATTTCAGATAGTTATGTGCACTTTATATCTTTATTTTTATTTTCGATCTCACCGCACGTGGGATCTTAGTTCACAGACCAGGTATCCAACCCGCGCCCTCTGCATTGGAAGTGCAAAGTCTTAACCACTGGATCACCAGGGAAGTCCTAGCTAGGTGCACTTTAAAATCTCTCACACATATTACATTTTAAACCAAACCAATCTGCTATAAAAATTAAATAAAAGCTAATGTTTCATTTTCATGAGTCAGTCATAAATTAGAAAATATAGATTATAGAGATACATGTTTAGAAAACAAATGTGGAAGAAGATCCATTTTCTTCATTCAAGATGTTCTACAATGAAACTATTTGGCACCCAAAACCAGCTGGAACCATAAGACCTACTGCATAGCACAGGGAACTATACTCAAGAATTTGTAATAACTTGTAAGGGGAAAGAATCTGAAAAATATATATGTATATGTATAACCCAGCCACTGAGCTGTACATCTGAAACAACATGACACTGTAAATCAACTATACTTTAATATAAAAAATTAAAAAGACTGAGGTCATATGTCCTCTGTCCACAATGGAACTAAATTAGACATTGGTATTTAGAAAAACCCTAAATATATGGAAGTAACATAGCATACTTCTAAATAAGGTATTTATCAAAGAAAAAATAACAAGGGAAATTGGAAAATAGTTCAAATTAAATGACAGTTAAAAATAAAGTGTATTAAAATCTATGGTCTTCAGCAGAAACAGAACTTGAAGTGAAAGTGTTAGTTGCTCAGTGGTGTCTGACTCTTTGTGACCCCAGGGACTGTAGCCTGCCAGGATCCTCTGTCCATGGGATTTTCCAGGCAAGATACTGGAGTGATTTGCCATTTCCTCCCCCAGAGGATCTTCCAGACCCAGGAACTGAACCTGGGTCTCCTGCATTGCAAGAGGATTCTTTAGCATCAGAGCCGCCAGGGAAGCCCAAAACAGTCCTTAGTGAGCAATTTTAGAGCTTTTAATACTTACACAGAAAAGTCTTGCACCAGGAGGATAGAAAATAATGAACACAGTAAACCCAACATAAGAGGAACAACACAGTAAAGAGCATAAATCAGTGAAACAAAAAACAGACAATTCAGAACATTAGCAAAGCTAAAAGCTGGTTATTTGAAAAGGCAAACAAAGCTGATACATCCACCGCTAGAAAGAAAAAGAACACAACCTACCAACATCAGGGATGAAAAAAGAGTTATCACTAAAGACCCCCAGGTGTTAGAGGGATAAAAGGAACTGTTAGGAACAACTTTATGTCAGCACCTTGACAATGTAGACGAAATGCACAGACTAAACTGACAGAACCAATGGGAATTAAGACAACTCCATAACTGTATTTAGAGATTGTTATTACCCCTCTGAAAACCCGTCAGAAAACAGGAAGAAAGAGCACTTCCCAACATGTCTTAGGGGACCTGAACAGATATTACAAAAAAAAAAATTATAGACCAATCACCCACAAATAGAGACACAAAGTGAAATTCCAATGACTCCCCAGGAATTACAAATTTACAAAACAGTCTGTGAAACAAGTTGATTTTGTCAATGAATGAGCAGATGGACAGAGGTTTTACAAAATGATCCAAAAAGCCAAGAAATAATACAAACCTGCCTCTTTCTAGCTATGTAAGTGTATCCCAAAATTTATCCCCTCTATGCCTCCATTCCTTCACCTATAAAATGAAGACAACAGGACCTACCTCATAAAACTCCAGTCTTACTGTGAGTTCCAAAGACATGAAGGGCATTAGTATGTGCTCCAGAACCACCGCATCACGATAGTGAAGACGGTACACTGCACCCCCTTACATTGTGCAGTGCGCAACCTACTCGGTGGTACCTGGACACCCTGCTGAGTGCTCAAAACTTTTTAACAACAACAGAAAAGTCAGAATGTTATATAGTAACAAAGAAAATGAGATGCTTAATTGGGAAATATGAATTCACATCCCTGCAAAACTAAATACTGTGCTATTCTAGCCACCTCATTACCCATATCTAAATTACTGAGTGCTTATCTGTAATACTTCCGTTAAACAGCACTCAGATTTGGCCCAAGCTCTCAAAACACAAGGGTTAAGTTTGAAATTTCCAATGGCAACACATTAATGAACTAAGTGTCTTACACCCAGGGTTATTTTTTTAAACTATAATGAAATACCGACTTGATGGACATGAGTTTGAGCAAGCTCGGGGACTTGGTGATGGACAGGGAAGCCTGGCGTGCTGCAGTCTATGGGGCTGCAAAGAGTTGGACACGACTGAGCGACTGAGCTGAACTGATGATGAAAAAAAAACACAATGAAAGTGTTAGTCACTCAGTTGTGTCCATCTTTTTGTGACTTCATGGACTGTAGCCCGCCAGGCTCCTCTGTCCATGGGGATTCTCCAGGCAAGAATATTGGAGTGGGCTCCCATTCCATTCTCCAAGGGATCTTCCTGAACGGGGTCTCCTGTATCACAGGAAAATATGCCTAACTGCAAGTTTAAACAAGTGATAATGCTTGTTTTCTCCTTATTTTCACTTGGGAACATCCAGGCTCCTTCCTCACCTGATTTGTGTTTCAAATTCGTGGTCACTCCATCAAATTCGGATTTATCAATTTCCCACGCTAGAGGTAGCTTGCCCAGGCTGTTGGATAAGTTCTCCAAGCTGTTTTCTTCATTGTAGATGATGTCCGAAGTACTGGCCGAGATGCCAATGTACCTTGAGGAATTATTGGCTGCAGATAAAGAGGTACTATCGGAGAGGCAAGAAGAGCGGGCTGGATTTGGAGTTTTATAGATTGAGGTGGCCTGGTTGAGAAAAGCATAGTCTGAACAGATGGCGTAAATCTTCTCCCGAGTGTGGGTCACTGGACAGCCCCACGGATAATGACCATCTCCTCTGGGACCCAGGGGTTCTCCGGAGGCGCGGGTGCAGAAAGACTGAACGGCACCTTGCAGGCTCTCTTCGGGAGACCGTCTCTCGGACTTGTGCTCACCATTTCCAGAATCATCTGCCCCTTCTGCTTCTGCAACGTTAGGCATTGAATGCAACTATGAAAGTTCGGTTGTGAGGAAGAGGGTGCCACGCTTTCTATTTCTTGAGAAACAGCTGTGACAATCGTTTACAGCATTCTGCAAAAACGTGAGAGCTGCAAAAACGGGCTCCTAAGGAAAGAGGGAGGAGACAGAAAGATCAACAACCCACTAGACACTGCAAAATGCAAACACATATTCTAAGTGTTTCACAGGCCTGCATTCGATAAATATTTATTTCACAACTACTATACGCTTAAGTCGTGATCCCTCACCATCTGGTCAAAAATTATTTTTAAATGATGTTTTAGGATAATAAAGGATAAGATGGTTGGACATTATCACTGATTCAGTGGACATGAACTTGCACAGACTCTGGAAGATAGTGAGGGACAAAGAGGCCTGGAGGGCTATAGTCCATGAGGTCACAAAGAGTCGGACACGACTTAGTGACTGAACAACAAATAGGATAATAAAAGGGCTAATGACTCCATTTCAAGATGGGCAAAATATTTGCACAGTCATTTCTCCAAAGATGATGTAGCAATGATCAATAAGCACATAAAAAGATGTGCATCACTAGCCATCATGGAAATGCAGATCAAAACCACAATAAGATATGACCCCATATTGATCCAGGCGGCATGAATCAAAAAGACAGATAATCATAAGAATAGAGGAGGAAGTGGAGAAACTGGAACCCATACAATGTTGGTGGAAATGCAAAATGCTCCAGTGACTTTGAAAAACAGTTCCTTAAACGTTATACATAAAGTTGGCATATGATCCAGCAATTTCACTCCTCGGAATATATCTAAGAGAACTGGAGACATCTGTCCACACAAATGTCCAGAGCAGTACTACTCATAAAACAGCTTAAAAAAAAAAAAGGAAACAACACAATTCTCATCAATTGATGACTGGATAAATAAGATGTAGTCTATCCACACAATGAAATACTATTGGACAGTAAGAAGAAACGAAATACTGATCCATGTTACAACATGGATGAACCTTGAAAGCATTATGCTAAGTGAAAGAAGCCAGTTGCAAAGGACCAGAGGACGTGTAACTCCTTTTACATGAAATGCTCAGATTGGGAAAAGCCACGCTGACAGAAATTAGATTAGGGATTACCTAAGGGCTTGTGAGGAGAAAGGGGATTGGGAGTGATGCGGTTTCTTCCTGGAGGAATGAAAATGTTCCCTGACTGTGATGATGAACGCACACTTTGTGAATGTAGTAAGACACTGAACTGTACACTTTAAACGGGTGCGCCGGGCTCCTCCTCATTAGAGAAGATGCCCACGCCCTTTTCTCTCCGGGTGTGTATCTCTGCCTCCTTTCTGTCTTAAATAAACAACTGTTTCTCTGTGTGCTCTCCCAAAATAAGTAATAAAGAAATAAACATAAATAGATAGTAATAAATAAATAGGTGAATTTATGGTGTGTAAGTTTCCCTGGTGGCTCAGTGGTCAACAATCCACCTGCAAGGCAGGAGCTGTAAAAGACTGGGGGTTGTATCCCCGGGTCAGGAAGATCCCCTGGAGAAGGAAATGGCAACCCACTCCGGTATTCTTGCCTGGAGAATCCCATGGACAGAGGAGCCTGGCGGGCTACACTCTATAGGGTCACAAAGAGTCAGACACAACTGAAGCGACTTAGCACGCACACGCACATGGTGTATACATATCTCAAAACTGCTTCCATCACCACAATGAATTATAGCCTGTAGAAATCCTAGGAGTAGAGGACCTCTCGACAGGAAGCTTTAACGGTTTTTCCTTCTTCCTCGTCTCCTGATGTGATGATGGAGGAAAATTCAAAAAGAAGCTCTGGGTAGGGCTTCCCTGGTGGCTGAGCGGTAAAGGAGATGCCTGCAGGAGACAGGGTTGGATCTCTGAACCAGAGAGATCCCAGGCCAGGGAGCAACTAAGCCTGTGGGCCACAACTACTGAGCCTGTGCTCTAGAGCCTGCAAGCCACAGCTGCTGAAGCCCACACGCCGAGAGCCCTTGCTCCACAACAAGCCCAGATGCCACCGAAACGAGAAGGCCACGCATCACAACTAGAGAACAGCCCCCCTCTCTGCAACTCGAGAGAAGCTCACGCGGCAATGAAGACCCAGCACGGTCAAAAATAAAATAAATAAATGAAACTAATAAAAAAGAGAGAGAGAGAGAAGCAGCTCTGCGTATCTGAGGTTGTACAGGCCAAACCTGAAGCTACTCTCTTAGCAGATGCCCTAGCAAAGCATTTCTTTTTAAAAAAGTTCTGTTGAAGTACAGTTGATCTACAATGTTGTATTAATTTCTGCTGTACAGAAAAGTGACTCAGCTATGCTCACACACACATACACACATGCCCTTTTGCATGTCCTTTTCCAGTATGGTTTATCACAAGATATTGAATATAGCTCCCTACTAGCAAAGCATTTCCTACTTCTTTTCTGTTATTCTCATGCCTTTCACTAAAAGTGGAATAGAGGTGATGGGGAATAGAGAAAGTGCTGAATAGAGAAAGGTCTTATTTCTGGGTTGGGGTTCTGCGGGTGGGTTGCAGGAGGGTGGGACATTACTCAGAGCATGCGGCCATGGTAAGGGGCAGTGAATAAAGGTGTGGGGGGCCGGCCGGGTGGGTCAGGGTAGACAGAAATGTTCCAGGCCCTGTCTTATTATCTCTTCATCTCAGATTTAGCCTCTACTTTGACAGAGCTTCCTTCCTCAGATTAAATGGAGTTTTGCCTATGGGACCAGCTCTCTGTGCAGCAGGATGGGGATGTCTGAACAAAGCTAATCTGGAACATATATAAGAGAATATATATGCGTGCTGCAGTCCATGAGGTCACAAAGAGTCAGACAAGACAGCGGCTGAACAGCAACAGAATAGGAGAATATTCTTATCAGAAACATCAGAATGAATGGGAATGAAGTCTAAAAGGTAGGGGATTTATGTCTATGTATGGGCTTCCCAGGTGGCGCTAGCGGTAAAGAATCCACCTGCCAGTTCAGGAGACACAAGAGACTTGGGTTCGATCCCTGGGTCAGGAAGACCTCGTGGAGTAGGAAGTGGCATCCCACTCCAGTACTCTTGCCTGGAAAATAAACTCCACAGGCAGAGGAGCCTGGGGGGCTACAGTCCACGGGGTCGCGAAGAGTTGGACATGACTGAGGACATGCTGAGGACATGCTGGGCTGTACCTTAGAAACTAGCACAACATTGGAAAGCAATCAGACTCTCATAAAATTTTATTTAAAAACAAGAGACATAGAGAAAGGGAAATCACTGCATTTGTGTATAAATAAGACCAGAAAGACCGTAGCACTTGATTAATAAGAGTGTAACAGTCTGGTTTTGTTTATGTTTGGAGTTTGTTTGCTTTTAAATAATGGTCACTCACAAGAATGATCTTTTTCATTGCACTTTCACCAAAAAAAAAAACAAAGATCATCAACAAAAGGACATGTTTTTTTCTATAGACTGTCAACCAAAGCCAAGAGTAAAACTTGGGAGTGCTATGAAAACTTTCTCACCTGAACCACTACTGATGGAAATTTCTCTTTGAGGGACTTTCCTGGTGGTCTAGTGGCTAAAATTCCACACTACCAAGGCAGGAGGCCCAGGTTCCAGGTTCAATCCCTGATCAGGGAACTAGATCCCACATGCCACAACTAAGACTTGGAAGAGCCAAATAAATATCTTTTTTTAAAAAAAAAGAAAGAAATTTCTCTTTGAAAAATTGTCATATTTATAAATTTTATCACCTAAGTAAAACAAATTAGAGAAAAATGTTGCAAAATACCAAAAGATACCACACAGAAGAGGAAGATTATCCAAACCCCAGGACCAAAACCCTGCTGCTGTTGATTTCCTCATTATTTACCTGTACTTGCGTGCTAAGTCACTCAGTCATGTCTGACTCTAGGACCCCGTGAACTTCAGCCCACCCGGGGCTGACCCACGTCTCTTCTCCCCATGACAGCGACAGCTCCATAAAGCCCAGGGCGCTGGTGTTATTGCATCCTCAGAGTTTCTCAGACATGAACTAAGCACAAATTATTACTCATCATAGACTCATGGTGGAGGTCAATTCATATATTAGATTGTAATCACAGCCTCAGGAAATGCCTAGGTACAGAGGGGCAGGCTGTCCCTCCACTGAATGGCCTTCACCTCACATGATATTATCACATCTTCTTTTGCCCGTAGTTTTATAAACCATTTATTTCTGCTCCTAGTTCCCTGTCCACTACCATGCATTGACATTTCTAACCTGACCTGTGCACAAATAATGGAAAGTAAACCATGTATACATATGTGATCATGTAACTCCACTGCCTAAAACCCTCTGCTCTTAGAACAAACAGCAAACCTGGCGTGATCTCTCTTTAACTCCACCTCACTCTCCTCTCCCCATGGACCATGTTTCCTTTCTCTGAATGCTGTCTCCTCCCTCTTCTCCTTTATTTACTTAATTCCCCTTATCCTGCGTGTGCTGTGTGCTAAGTTGCTTCAGTGGTGTCCACTGCTTTGCGACCCCATGGACTGTAGCCCACAAGGCTCCTCTGTCTGTGGGATTCTCCAGGCAAGAGTACTGGAGTGGGTGGCCATTTCCTTCTCTAGTGGATCTTCCCCACCCAGGGATGGAACAGGAGTCTTCTGCCTTCACAGGCAGATTTGTACTCTGAGCCTTCACAGGTCTTACCAGGGTGCAATTCTAGATCGTGTGTGTTTATATGATGAATGTCTGTCTCCTGCAAATCTGGTTTTCCTGACCTACTCTATCTCCAGGGTGATTTGTAAAAGTCTCATCAACAGATATATATTTAAGCCCCTGCACCATCCTAGGCATTATTGTAAACCCAGGATTAGGAGCCTGGATTGCAGGAGGGCTTACCAGGAGTGGCTCTGGCAATCAGGACCTGGAGTTCTAGGCAAGGGGACTCTTTCTCCTCCCAGGTTCTCATGGGTGACAACTGAGGTTCCCTCATCCAGTAAAGGACGCCAAGC